TCACAAACAATATCACCCGTCATATAATACCAGTTACTATGTAGCTACATAATACCAGTTACTATGTCATCACATAATGTGAGTTACTATGTCATCACATAATGTGAGTTACTATGTCATCACATAATACCAGTTACTATGTCGTCACATAATAACAGTTACTATGTCATCACAAAATGCAAGTTACTATTTCGTCACATAAAACCAGTTCACTGTGTCATCATATGATTACAGTTACTATATCATCACGTAATACAGGTACTATGTCATCATATAACACCAATTACTATGCCGTCACATAAAACCAGTCACTATGTCAGCATATAATAACAGTTACTATGTCATTACACAATGCCAGTTGCTATGTTGTCACACAATGCCAGTTGCTATGTCACATAATTACTAGTTACTATATGTCATCACATAATACCAGTTACTAATACCAGTTACTATGTCATCATAATACCAGTTACTATGTATGTCTATGCATCACATAATTCCAGTTACTATGTCATCATATAATACCAGTTACTATGTCGTCACATAATGCCAGTTACTATGTCATCACATAATACCAGTTACTATGTCATCATATAATGCAGTTACTATGTCATCACATAATGCCAGTTACTATGTCATCACATAATGCCAGTTACTATGTCATCACATAATACCAGTTACTATGTCATCACATAATGCCAGTTACTATGCCATCACATAATGCCAGTTACTATGTCATCACATAATACCAGTTACTATGTCATCACATAATGCCAGTTACTATGTCATCATATAATGCCAGTTACTATGCCATCACATAATGCCAGTTACTATGTCATCATATAATGCAGTTACTATGCCATCACATAATGCCAGTTACTATGTCATCACATAATACCAGTTACTATGTCATCACATAATGCCAGTTACTATGTCATCACATAATGTCATCACATAATGCAGTTACTATGTCATCACATAATGCCAGTTACATCACATAATGCCAGTTACTATGCCATCACATAATGCCAGTTACTATGTCATCACATAATGCCAGTTACTATGTCATCACATAATGCCAGTTACTATGTCATCACATAATGCCAGTTACTATGTCATCACATAATGCCAGTTACTATGTCATCATATAATACCAGTTACTATGCCATCACATAATGCCAGTTACTATGTCATCATATAATGCAGTTACTATGTCATCATATAATGCCAGTCTCTATGTCGTCACGTAATGCCAGATACTATGTCATGACATAATAATACCAGTCACTTTAAAAAAAAAAGGAAATCTAGGACATAATAGCGGTGTTTTAACACATGGGCCCACTAGGCATTTGCTTGTGTGCCTCACATATAGGAGGAGCTCTGTATATGAAATGACCCGACAGACATCAGAATTTCATTGATATGAGTGCCTGTCATAGAAATCTCTTGCTAATCTGTGTATATCAAATGATTTGACAAAAATAAGAATTTCAATGATATGAGTGGTTGCCACAAGAACCCTATGCCAATACTTGTAAATAAAGTGACTTGCCATAAATGAAAATGAGAGTGGCTGTCATTGGGGCCCCAGGACGATTGTTTGCCCTGGGGCCCCTAATGCTGTTAAGGCGGCTTTCAGATAAAGCACCATCAACATAGTCCAATAACAGGTGTCGTTGGGCCACCAGCTGCTATGAACTGTCTGATCAGCTTCCTCCATCTGTCGGTCAGATGCAATGGACTTGATGTCTGCAAACTTGAAGTCTGTACAGTCAGCCAAGTTCTGTATCTAGGTCTTTCTTGGTCTGCCTCGTCCCCTCTACAGAGGACAGACTATCACACCACATTATGTGTGAATATCACACCACATTGTGTGAATATCACACCACATAGTCGGCTCTGTGGCTAAGTCGATGCGAACGCTTCGCTTCGTAATGCTGGGATGCCGGGTTCGATCCCAGCTGCAGGCAATGCGCCTTGCGTTGGTTTCGACAGTGGTATCAAGAAAGCCGACCGTCCAGAAAGCAATGGCAAACTACTGGACGTAAATTTGCCTAGAAAAACCAAACAACAGCCAGGGGCTGTAAAGGATACGTTACATCCCATCACACCACATTATGTGTAAACAAACGTCTTTGTCTGATTAAGTCATAAAATGATACATTTGGTTCTAGAAACATGGAAACAAATTTGCTAACTTACAGTATTAAAAAAAAAAAAAAACTATTGCCAGCAAAGGAATGATCTCTGAAAAATGATATGTTCCTATAATACATTCGCCCCCTGCTTACCAGAGCTGCATGAAGTAGTACCTTTTAAAAAGAGCCCCAAATGGAGAAGCCATATAAGTCAGTTCATGAAAAAATATGTCACTGAAGATGGAGACAAACACAAGACAGATGAATTTCATAACCAACATTTGCAATGCCTATCCTGGTTTCAGATGATTAAATGCGGTCTGTTTTTAATTAATTTAATTATTTTCAAGTCATGTTCAAAGTCCCCCTCATTACCTCATTTACTGCATCATAAGCATCTGTCAAGGTCTCTTACCTGAAAGGTCTCTTAAAGTCACTACCCGAGTTTGCTGTAAACTTTGAGAAGACAACTGGTTAATAGCATAACTATGCAGATTTATGAAATCCTTTGCATTTCCCATGACACTATGTTTTAATGGTTTTGTGTTGTGTGGAAAGGGCATATCAGGAAGAGAATGAGACTGAAGGAAGAAATAACTGCAGAAAGGATGAGAGCTGAGCGTCTGAAAAGAAACGGATTAAACACAAATGTTGTTAACAATGGTCCTGAAATCCCATGCTATCATTGTGGAAGACTTTTCTTGACACGGGCGGGTCTTGCTAGTCACACTCGCCATCGCCATGGGCTGTGAGACTCATCCTTCCTCAATGCGCAATATAACACTATCATCTGGAAAGATGGGAAGGTGCTAATGAATGCCAATGAATGTTATAATGGTTTTGTGTTTACATCTTTCCTTTAAGTGACTTGAAACAGCCCCAGCATATGACTTTATCTATCTACATTCAAGGGACATGTTAAAAGTAGCAGAAAATGATAGCGAAAGATCCCTGTATGGGTTCCGGGGACCCTGTTAAAGGGAAACAAGAATAGACCCACTGCCTACTTAAAAGCATGTCGTAAGAGTCGACTAATTGACAGCTTCCTTCAAAGTCGGAGTGCATCTGCCTGAGAGGCAAGAAACCAACAGACTGCATGCAAATTAGCCAGATCTGTCAAAAGGATGCACACACAACACTCAAGTTCTGGAACAGGACTGCAGTCTAGAAGTGGACAAACAACCAGAACTTTCCGCCAGAGTTTACAGCTGGTGAACGTGAAGAAGAAGAACAATAGCAGAAGACAAGTGTCCCACTTCACAGATGCCTATGGCCTTGTCACTTGAAAAGCACTGGCGAGGAGAATGAAAAAAGGAAGAAGAATTTATTTATGCTAATTTATTTATACTATCGTCTAGCTGAAATGCTATAGAAAGATTCTCAGAATGTCTTGGACAAAGAAGAGGAGAAATACTGACATCTTGAAAGATCTGAACATCAAGGAAGATTGGCTAATAAATAGCATCCTGTCTCAGAAGCTGAAATATTTTGGTCATATCAAGTGCCACAACGGATTGGAAAAAATTATAGCAGAAGGCATGGTACCAGGACACGAAGATGGGCACAGGATAAAAGTGACTCCTCGAGTATGAAAGTACATGAGGCGGGAGAACTAGCGAGAGACCAAGTTTCTTTCAGGCAGACTGTGATGAGAGCGACGTTCTGCAAAGGACCTGCTACATGATGCTGATTGTCTAGGGACTTTTGTTCTTGTGATGTAGTGAACTATGGTGTTAAGAACAACCTTACAGAAATGAAGACCATCTTATAGAACACATTAGAAAGAGCTTAAAGATGATCATGATCGTTAGACCTTCTCTCAACACTTCACTGAGTAACTGGAGAACAAAAAGAAAATTTACTGATTAATTGTTTGAGTCCCAGAAGATCACAGATCATAGCTGATGCCTGATTGAAGCAATAATGATGTCAATAAAAGCATGGGTATACTGCATCCTAGAGTTACCGTGGCAGAGCGGCTAGACGTTCGTGGCGGATCGGAAGGTCGTGGGTTTGCTCCCTGGTGGAGCCGGACTTTTTTCAAAAATGATTTTGGCTCCCAGATCAACCCAGCCTTGAGTGGGTACCAGGTGCTGTCCCAGGAAGTAGAGGTGGCCGGCGTGATGCTGACCACATCATCCATCTTGTGCCGATTGGTCTTTAAAATTTAGGTCTAGCCCCATTACCTAAAGGCGTGGAAAAGAATTCTTTACTTTGTTTTTTAATACTGCATCCACAGAGCCCAAATACACACAGCACATTGTGGGTGGCTTGTGCTATCGGGTTGATTTAGTTTGCCTAAATATACTTAAGATGTACAAATATACAAAATGTGTTACTCGTGTAGATGAGTAATATCTGGTACACATGGTGCGTTGTTTGGGGCCGAAAGGGTGAATATCTAACATTTCGGGAGGTGGGGGATAATCTTGGCGGCGAAGTGGTTCAGCTGTTTGTCTCACACTTTGAACATCATGGGTTTGTTAATTGGACAAATTTTTCAGTTCATGAGTGCAGGTTTTATGGCAGTCCCTGGGTATCACTGCTGGAGCTACGGAGTTTGTGCTTTGTGTGATGCTCTCTTCAGTCAGCTAGCCATTCTGCAAAGAGAGACCTGGCCATATGGGATAATCTAGCTTACTGAAGTCAATCCTCTCTAATTTAACTGTCTAATTGTTTCAGTTATCCACAGCTGTTTATGTGTAGGGTGTTTCTTACTGTCTCAGATCCCACAGCGTTTCATTGATTCAAACAGTCTCCCAGCAATTTAATTTATGTCATGTTTCTATTTGTCTGTACTGTAACCAGTATACCCGTTCTCTGTGTCATTCTGATTAAATCAATGCGTCCAGTAGACCGTCATTTTAGATTCTGGGATATCCACTGATGGTGGAATTCAACCAGCCTTGACACCAGTGGAGATTCAATTTCCCGACCTGACAGAACATCAGAATCACTCAGTTTCAAGGTTTCTTCACTATTTCTGGTTACTATGACCACTTCTGTTTTCCGGGTCTCCAACAGGTTGGCCACAACTACCTGAAACAAACAGGCAAATGATGATAATTTGCGATAATTTTTCCAAACACACAGCATGGTTTTCTTCTTCTGCTTACTTTCAACTGACTGTAAACTCCAGCCAAAAATGTTTGGTTGTTCGTCCACTCCTGGACTTTAGTCTTGATCCTAAACTTGAGTTTTGCATGTACATCTATTTGACAGATTTGGCTTTTTTGTATGCAGACTGTTGGTTTCCTAGGTAGATGCACTCTGACTTCAAAGGAAAAACCCCTAACTAGTCACCTCCTGTGAGACGCTAGTTGGGATGGGGGGGGGGGGGGGGGGCAGTGGGTCCTTTGTTCTCCAAAAATGAAGCCCTGGAGCCCACAGGGGGACAGCATTATTATAAACTACCAAAGCTTGTCAAGATAGCTTATCAACATTTCAGTTCATCCTTTATGTCACACAAGGCCTGGTGTCCATTCCTCCACTCAATTCTACTATCCTGTGCAATCTTTCTAAAATCTGGGATGGAATCCCGCAAAGTTCATTTGGCCTCCCTCATCAATGTTTGTCTTTTCAAGATATGATTTATCAGAAATTTATTAATTACAAGCCAATACAATTTATATACTTGGTGTTACCAACTGGAAAAAGAAGGCCAACCAGAGAGATGAGTGGAGAGACGGGGGATATCTGCAGCAATTAACCTAAGGGGTTCAAAATGCTGAAGAAGAATGAGAAGAAGAAGAATACAATTTAATGGAAGTTGCAAGCTGCAATACAGTAAAATTTATAAGAAAGTAACAAGCATCAAGACAGTAAAATTTATAAGAAAGTTACAAGCGTCAAGACAGTAAAATGTATAAGAAAGTTACAAGCATCAAGACAGTAAAATGTATAAGTAAGTTACAAGCATCATGACAGTAAAATGTATAAGAAAGTTACAAGCATAAAGACAGTAAAATTTATAAGAAAGTTACAAGCTGCAAGATAATAAAATTTATAAGAAAGTTTCAAGCTGCAAGATAGTAAAATTTATAAGAAAGTTACAAGCATCAAGCTAGTAAAATTTATAAGAAAGTTACAAGCTGCACGACAATAAAATTTATAAGACAGTTGGAAGCCTCAAGACAGTACAATTTATAAGACAGTTGCATGCTGCAAGACAGTAAAATTTATAAGATAGTTGCATGCTACAAGACAGTAAAATTTATAAAGAAAATTGCAAGCTGCAAGACAGTAAGGTTACACCATTCACAATAAGGAAAACATGACTCCCCCACAACATAAGAGAGGTCCAGTGACCTAAGGAGGCATGAATGGCACTCTAATTCCTGGGCCTGGAAACGTAAGTAGCACCTAAGAAAGTTACAAGCATCAAGACAGTAAAATGTATAAGAAAGTTGGAAGCTGCAAGATAGTAAAATTTATAAGAAAGTTACAAGCTCTGCAAGACAGTAAAATTTATGAAAAAAGCCACAAGAATCAAGACAGTAAAATGTATAAGAAAGTTACAAGCTGCAAGACATTACCATTTATAAAAGTTACAAGATGATTGACAGTAACAGCCATACAAAAAGTGATAAAACAATTACAATCAATAAACAGTTTGGACATATTTCAAGAATACCACCAGATAGTGCATCACAGAGAGCGCTGTCAATCAGACATAACAGAAGCAGATCTAGAGGTCAACCATGCAAGCGAGGGATAGATGGAATATCCAAGGCTGTAAATACCAGCATCTAAGTAGCACATACCAAGGCTTCTACCCAAAGACTTCAGAACCTGATGCTAAAAGGACTACAGAAGAAGAAGAATCAATAAACTAGTTATTTCATAAAAAATTTGAGCATCTATACCCACAAATTTTAATTCATGAAAGATATATCATAGGAATAAAGAAAAGAACCATTGGAATCATAAGCGCAGGCAGTCATGATTTGCCATCTCATATGATCACCAGAATTACAGATCAGGTCAATGTTTTGCCCCACCCCATCTAAGCATTTATCTCATTGTTCTCCCTTTGCTCAGAAAAGAACAGAACAGTACAGGTAAGAACAAGCATGTTATAAAATGAAGGACTTATGCAAATTAACCCTGCCACCTGAGGTTCATAAGTGGAATAAATAGCCCCAAAAGGCCTTGAAGATTCAACCTTTATGCCCCAGGAATGCTAGAAAAATGGGTCAGGATCCTGTGGGAATTCCCAGAACAAAATATGTAACCTTATTACACAGGCCTCCAATAAATTGTTACAAAAATTTACTTATGTACAGTTTTTTTTATTTTGTTTTTGGAAATATATAAAAATATATAAAGGGGTAATCAATAACCACAAACAGAATAAAGCCTTCAATGGAATTACTAAATGAAAAAAACCAAACTAAAACATATATCAAGATTATGATGTGACCCCATGACCTCTATCACAGAGGCGTAAGGGAAAATGTAATATCAACTTGGCTTTTAAAAAAGTCACTGGGGTCATAATGAAACCAACCACTAAATACTATTTTAGTGACTATATTCATACCCTGGCCTACTGAACCTGTGCAGGCAAAAACAGAACCAATGGCATTCAAAGACACTTTCTGAAAACAGGTTATTGTAGACATGGCAATATATTGGCATTTACAGGAATGTGTCCTGGCTGGAAGTGACTAGATATAGTCTTGTGGTGGTGACAGGGTTAAAACATTGAGCAATTACCTGATGGTGGTAGGTATCCAGTGCCTTCTTGGCTTTATCCACCAGTAGAGAGGTGTCAGTCTCCAGCTGAAAGGACAAATCAAGGGAATCATTAAGCGCAAAAGGTCTCCCTTCTCTACACTGGAATCATATATTCATGTACATAGAATATACTTACAATCCTCAGTGAGAACTTTTTTTTTATATAGAGAGTAATCCCAGCCTGAGTCAGCCTTACGATGGGCATCAGAAAATGTGATGGAAAGTAAAGGCAGCCGGCATGATAATGACGGCATCATTAATCATGTGCAGATCCATCAATACAAACATGGGACTAGAAGTGTGGCTGCAGAGGACTGAGACACAATCAAGCAAACAGACATACACCAAGAAACAATTAAGCTAACAGATGAATAATGAGATATAATTAAGCATGCAGTCAGATACAGAGACACAATCAATCAGATAAATAGATATTGAGACAAACTAAAGCAGACAGACAGATAACAAGACACAATCAAGCAACCAGACAGACACCAAAACACAATCAAGCAAGCAGGTAGACACCAGCATACATCAAGCAAGTAGGCAAACACCAGGACACAATCACGCAAGCAGACCAGCACCAAAACACAATCAAGCCAGCAGACACCAGCATACAATCAAGCAGGCAGACAGACATAAAGACATATTCAAGCTAGTAAACTGACAGAAAAACTTAGATAAATATAATCAATACAGAAACAAGAAATGGTGGGACTGAGAATAAATACAAAGAAAACTAAGATCATGACAAACAGTCCAAACCAACAACCAGTGACCATAAATAACCAATCACTTGAAAATGTAGAACATTTCACTTATCTTGGCAGTGTGGTGTCCCTACTGGGAGGGACAGAGGAAGACATACAGTCACGTCTGAACAAAGCTAGAGCTGCTTTTGGAAGGATGAGGCAACTCTGGAAATCCAACAATTACTGCAGAGGAACGAAACTCCGACTCTACAAGAGTATAATTTTGCCAGTTCTTCTTTATGGAGCGGAATGCTGGAGAATGACCAAAAAGGATGCACACAAGCTGTCCACCTTCCACCACACATGTCTACGTAGAATTATCAAAATTTTCTGGCCAGATATAATCTCAAACACTAAACTACTTCAAACCACAAACCAAGAAACTTTAGACAGTATGATTACCAAGAGAAGATGGAAATGGCTTGGCCACGTTACGAGAATGACTTCTGATATACCTGCCAAAACAGCTCTCACATGGACACCGGAGGGAAAGAGAAAACAGGGGCGTCCAAAAACAACATGGAGACGAACGATGGAAAGTGACCTGAGTGCGGCATCTTTGACATGGAAAACTGCACTGAAGATTGCACAGGACAGGAAAGCATGGAAAGTCCTCTCTGAAGCCTCATGTGCCACTAGGCATAATGAGAACTGATGATGATGATGAAACAAGAATAAATATAATTATTCAGATACAGAAATGAAACCAGACAGAAACACTGCCAAAAAAAAAAAAAAAAACATAAAATTACAGACTAAATGTAATCAAGCAAGCAAACAGACTTACAAACACAAATCCATGCTTGTTCTCACCTTGAAAGAAATAACAAATGCTTTTGGAGCCCATTCCTTGACCAAAGGTTTCAGCATCTTTGGTGTCATCTCCAGGTGCAGGTGCCGTGGTCCCTCTGAAGATTGGATTTTGTGTTCTGGCTTGAAAATGCACGTATGGACAATCTTTTTTATGGTTATAAAGTAAGATTACATAGCAGATAAATTGATCCCCCTAAAAAAGGAGGAGTTAGCCACCAGATTATTCAGTGATTAAAATGTTTAATAATAAAACTAAATGTAAAGGACCCTTTTCCACGTCTTCAGGTGTATTGGGCACATAGGGACAGACCTATGTTTCATAGAGCCTTAGGGAACTCTGTGGGCGATGTCAACATCACATCAGCTGCCTTTACTTCCCAGGACTGTACCTGGTACCCATTTGAGGCTGAGTCAATGTGGGAGCCAAGGTCATCTTCTAAAAAAAAAGCCCGGCTCCGTCAGGATCCAAACCCACGACCTTCCAATCTGCAGGTGAGCATCTAGCCGCTACACCAGTGATTCCCAAACTGTGCACCCAGGGAGCCGCGACTTCTTCACAGGGATGCCACGAAATAATGTAAAAGCTTTATAATTAATTTAACAAAAACACAAAGAGTCATACTTTTACTTTTGGTTGAAGCGCCGTGGAAAAATTTTATTTGAAAAAAACAACAACGCTGCCACCAAGAAAAGTTTGGGAAACACTGCGCCACACTATAGTGTTTCCCAAGTACCCAGATACATTCACAAATGGTGCTTTAATTAATATCCTACCCCAAGCAGGAGAAATCCACAGGTCACGGGACAGTCTAATATTTCAGGGGGTGGTAGCAAGTGGGAGGCATGCATGCAGGCTGCGTCTCTAGTGGGACGTAGGTGTTTTGGGCCAGTTGTTTTTGGGTCACGTTAAAAGCATCAGAAAGCCGGGAAACCAAGTCTCACCACCCTCTAAAATGTTGAACTGTCCTGTGACATCATCTAGGGGAGGATATTAATAAAAAACCTCACAAATTCAAAATTCTTCTTCTTAAAGTCCATGCCATGTGGAGTTGTAGTCATATCTATTCACAGAACCTTCTGTTTCGTGTATTTTCAATCAAATCAAACACAGATGATCCTCCGTGATATAATGTCAAACTGCCCAGCATCTTTTTTCTCAGTCTCCCTCTGCCTCTCCTCTGCTTCAACTTTCCTACTGTCACGATGTATTCCAGTTCTCTCCTCCTGTTCACATGACCAAAGAATGTAGATTGTCTCTTTCCGATGTCGGCAGTCGGTTCTCTTCGTGAGTCAGTTTCTTTCAAGACGTCCTCATTACTATTTTTTTTTAAATCCTGGGTGCTCTCATCATTCATCTATAAAACTACATCTCAGCACATTCCAAATACATTTTCGCTAACCGACAAACACATTCACCATTAGTTAACCATCTAATGTTTAAAGCCATCCTACATGCACATACTCACCATTTGTACAAAGCCATCCTACATGCACATACTCACCATTTGTGCAAAGCCATCCTACATGCACATACTCACCATTTGTACAAAGCCACCCTACATGCACATACTCACCATTTGTGCAAAGCCATCCTACATGCACATACTCACCATTTGTGCAAAGCCATCCTACATGCACATACTCACCATTTGTGCAAAGCCATCCTACATGCACATACTCACCATTTATGCAAAGCCACCCTACATGCACATACTCACCATTTGTGCAAAGCCATCCTACATGCACATACTCACCATTTGTGCAAAGCCAACCTACATGCACATACTCACCATTTGTACAAAGCCACCCTACATGCACATACTCACCATTTGTACAAAGCCATCCTACATGCACATACTCACCATTTGTGCAAAGCCAACCTACATGCACATACTCACCAATTGTACAAAGCCACCCTACATGCACATACTCACCATTTGTACAAAGCCACCCTACATGCACATACTCACCATTTGTACAAAGCCATCCTACATGCACATACTCACCATTTGTACAAAGCCATCCTACATGCACATACTCACCATTTGTGCAAAGCCAACCTACATGCACATACTCACCATTTGTACAAAGCCACCCTACATGCACATACTCACCATTTGTACAAAGCCATCCTACATGCACATACTCACCATTTGTACAAAGCCATCCTACATGCACATACTCACCATTTGTACAAAGCCATCCTACATGCACATACTCACCATTTGTGCAAAGCCAACCTACATGCACATACTCACCATTTATGCAAAGCCATCCTACACGCACATACTCATCATTTGTACAAAGCCATCCTACATGCACATACTCACCATTTGTACAAAGCCATCCTACATGCACATACTCACCATTTATGCAAAGCCATCCTACACGCACATACTCATCATTTGTACAAAGCCATCCTACACGCACATACTCACCATTTATGCAAAGCCACCCTACACGCACATACTCACCATTTGTACAAAGCCATCCTACATGCACATACTCACCATTTGTACAAAGCCATCCTACATGCACATACTCACCATTTGTACAAAGCCATCCTACATGCACATACTCACCATTTGTACAAAGCCATCCTACATGCACATACTCACCATTTGTACAAAGCCATCCTACATGCACATACTCACCATTTGTACAAAGCCATCCTACATGCACATACTCACCATTTGTACAAAGCCATCCTACATGCACATACTCACCATTTGTACAAAGCCATCCTACATGCACATACTCACCATTTGTACAAAGCCATCCTACATGCACATACTCACCATTTATACAAAGCCATCCTACATGCACATACTCACCATTTATACAAAGCCATCCTACATGCACATACTCACCATTTATACAAAGCCACCCTACATGCATACATTCACCGTTTGTACAAAGTCACCCTACACGCACACACTCACCGTTTGTACAAAGCCACCCTACATGATACACTCACCCTTTGTACGAAGCCACCCTACATGCACACACTCACTATTTGTACAAAGCCACCCTACACGCACACACTCACCATTTGTACAAAGCCACCCTAAATGCACACACTCACCATTTGTACAAAGCCACCCAAAACGCACACACTCACCATTTGTACAAAGCCACCCTACATGCACACACTCACTATTTGTACAAAGCCACCCTACACGCACACACTCACCATTTGTACAAAGTCACCCTACATGCACACTCACCATTTGTACAAAGCCAACCTACATGCACACACTCACTATTTGTACAAAGCCACCCTACACGCACACACTCACCATTTGTACAAAGCCACCCTAAATGCACACACTCACCATTTGTACAAAGCCACCCTAAACGCACACACTCACCATTTGTACAAAGCCACCCTACACGCACACACTCACCATTTGTACAAAGCCACCCTACACGCACACACTCACCATTTGTACAAAGCCACCCTAAACACACACACTCACTATTTGTACAAAGCCACCCTAAACGCACATACTCACCATTTGTACAAAGCCACCTTACACACACACACACACACTCACCATTTGTACAAAGCCACCTTTCACACCCACACTCACCATTTGTACAAAGCCACCCTCACGCGCACACTCACCATTTGTACAGAGCCATTCTACACACACACTCACCATTTGTACAGAGCCACCCTACATGCACATACTCATCATTTGTACAGAGCCACCCTACACGCACACACTTACCATTTGTAAAAAGCCACCCTAAACGCACACTCTCACTATTTGTAAAGAGCCACCTTACCATTTGTAAAGAGCCACCCTAAACGCACACACTCACTATTTGTAAAGAGCCACCTTACCATTTGTAAAAAGCCACCCTAAACACACACACTCACTATTTGTAAAGAGCCACCTTAAACACACACACACACACACAAATACTCACCATGTCTACAAAGCTACCCTCACGCACACACTCACCATTTGTACAGAGCCACCCTACATGCACACACTGACCATTCACTTTTTTACCCACTAGGAGCCCGACACACAACAGTTTTAAGCGATAGGAGCAAGACATGAGCACATTCAATGAAACAACGACGTTCGGACTTGTCTCTTATATTTTCTGTACGAGAAGGCATCTGGTCGGGGCCTCAAGATAAAAACATTGACCCTTTGATGCCCTACACCAAATACTTGTGGATTACTGTACAGAAGCATTGATAAACATTTTTCTCCTGGAGGAATTAGTTATTTAGTGATCTCTCTCTCCTCCTCTTCTTCTTTATCTCTCTCTGTTTTTTTCTTTCTTTTTATGTGTACATGTACCTCTTTTTCTATCTCTACTTTGATGTGTGAATGCCTGTGAACTGTTAATTATTATTAATTGTTGTCATATATGCAAGACAATAGTATTTTATTAATAAATTTATGCTGGACACATAAGGCTAATGGTATATGAGAGAAACTTGATAACTTTTGTACACCATTAACACACGCGTGTGAGCATGTAGAGAGTCGGTAGTCCAGAACCCAAGTTTAAGGTGTCTCCTACGTGCCAAAGAACTGCATGATTGTGGGGTGCCCAATTGTTAACGAAGGCAGTCAGGTTGTACAGGGGCGACACCTTGCTGATGGGCGTTATGCCCCTGGCCCCTTCCCCAGCACGAGGGCACCATCGGGGTGACCGTTAATAAAGCCTCACTACTTTCGGTCAAAATGGACAGTAGGCAAGGCCACTGTTTCGAGTTGTAGCAAATTTTTTTTGCTTCTGCCAGACAGTGGCTACTGCATTTTTGCTCCATTTGTAGACTGAAAGGATACAGTTTTGTCACCCAGCTTCTGACCTGAGTGCATGGCGTGACACTGTGAGCTGCGGATTTCATTTGGAATGTTTTTCTACTCTGACCAGCGTGGAGCTGTGAATTGTAGATTCAGAAAATGGCGCGATGCCTGTTGTTGCAATATTGGTGGTGCTATTGTGTGATTAAAATTCAATGCGTGTGCAACTACTGATCTGTTGGTGACTACTGCTACCATCCATGATGTACTGGATTTATGTCGGACTGTTTGTGTTGGCACTTCGGATGGCTGTCTTATGCTTTTAATGCGTGTGTATGCTAGATATGCTGAGACAGCAGTCTGTCAATCTTTCCACAAGGGACTGTGATGAAATTCTGTGTGTTTTTCGTTGGCACAGGAGCGGAGCAACTATGGGGTGACCCGTCTGCTATGAAGCTGAAACTAAGATTACCAGATTACTCACCATTTGCTCCGGTGGAATGTAAAAATCAGAAACAGCAGCCGCCAGGTAGATCGCCCCATGACAGCCTAAGTTGTTGATCGACTGAGCCGCCTCCCTCAACAAGAGCAGGTAATCTGTCAGCGTTGTGAATTCAACCATGAGTAACATCCCTTGGTCCCGGTATTTATGGTAGTCCTTCACTACAGGTGCTAGGTCCTTCACGTGTGACGGGCTGACTGTAGCAGTTACAATGAAGGATCAATTGTTGATTAAAACAGATAAATAAAGCAAGTCAAGGACCGGGGGGTCTCCATGGCAAAGTGGTCAAGCCGTTTGCCTCGTGCCCAGAAGGTCATGGGATAATTTCCAGATGGCGCTGTTCAGTTCAGGAGTGCGATTTTTACGGAGATCCCTGGGGTCTGTGGCCGAAGCTATGAAGGTCGTGCTCTGTGCAACACACTCGGCAGGCAGCTAGCTATTTTGCAGAGAAAGACTGAGCCATATAGGATAAAACCCGGTGCAATGAAGTCGGTCCTCTCACCTTCACCTTTAAGTAAAAGATCCCTTTTATGACACTGGTCTATTGGCAAATGACGCTCAACTCATATTTTTATAGACCAATCAGCACTTGATGGGTGGTAAGACCAGCATCTCACTGGCCACCTTTACTTCCCAAGACAATGCCTGGTACCCATTTAAGGCTTTGTTAATCTGGAAGCCAGGGCCAATTTTGAAGAAACAAAAAAAAAAAAACTTGATATGATGTCAACCCAAAGCCAATATCTTCACAGCGGGATTATTACAGGTTACTTAGTTGTGTATCCTTTACAGGACATTGTAGAACTAACCCCAGCATATTGTGGTTTTCAGTCACAACTTCCCGTAATTTTTAGGATGAAATTTTTTGGTTTTTTTTAAGCCCTACTCTGGTTCTTGCCACGGGCCACAATTTAGCCAGGCCATAAATATGGCCTAATGGCTGAACACGGTTTCTGGGACCTCTCGACGGTGATCCTCATCCACATGGTGGAACTCTGTGTCATTGTGTATTTATCGCTTGTGTGATGTCCTGGTGGGGTAAAAAAGACACACACAAAAATTATGATTTTTCTAATCAAATTTTACGTATAGTAGTTTGCCAGTGCTTCCTAAACTGTCAGCTCTTGGTATAGTCTTTCCTCTTGTGTCGAGTGCGGCACATAGGGCAGAGGTCGTGACTCTCCATGCACGGCGGTCCGTTGCAATCCGTTGTAGGTCTTGGATGTTTGAGTGGCCCATGAGCGAGCCTTCCCTGATGATAGTTCTACGTAGGGTTTCCCTTGGTCTTCCACGAGATCTTTTCCCCTGTGGTGTCCAAATGAGGGCTTGGTAAGGAAGTCTTTTATTTATCCATTCTAAGGACGTGGCCGACATAGTTCCAGCGGCGTTTTCGTATAAAATTAGACACATACTCTTGCCTGGATTCTTGCCTTATTTGTGTATTGGTTCGGAAATCTGACCATTTGAAATTTAGTATTCTTCTAAGGCATTTATTTTCAAAACTGTCTAATTTTGTGTCTAGAGTTTTTCGTTGATTTCCAACTCTCGCATCCATAGGTTAGTACTGGAATCACACAAGAATTGAAGATCTTGAGTTTTGTGTGTTTGCTAAGTGTCTTTGATTTCCAGATGTTAGACAGTTTATTGAAGGCACTAGATGCCAGTGCTATTCTAAATGATATTTCTGGTGCGGTATCTCCTGTAGATGACATCTTGCTCCCTAGATAAGTGAAACTGTTGACTTTTTCAAGGCTGTTGTTGTTCAGCGTGATATCAACTGAACTGTTGGTAAGGTCTAGAATTTTTGTTTTTGCGGTGTTAATTTGGAGTCCAATTTGTTCTGAGAAATTCTGGAGTCGATTGATTTTTTCTTGGGCGTCTGTGTGTTCTGAACTCAGGAGTGCTATGTCGTCAGCGAAGTCTAGGTCTTCCAGAATTTTGTCAACCCATGTAATGCCTAAATTTGCGTTATTTATGCACTTGCGCATGACCCAGTCGATTGCTATACCAAAAAGCATCGGCGATAGGACACAGCCTTGCTTCACTCCTGTTTCCACCGGGAACCAGTCAGAATTGCCGGAATCAGTTCTTACACAGCATCGTGTTTCATTATAAAAAGATTTTATGATGTTGATATACTTGATGGGGAAACCATAGATGTTAAGCAATTTCCAGAGTGTTGGACGATGGATACTGTCGAAGGCTTTTTGAAAGTCGACAAAGTTGATCAATAATTTCGACTGGAATTCTGTAGAATCTTCAACAATTATTCTAAGAGTAAAGATGTGGTCTATGCATGACCGCTTGGATCTAAAACCGGCTTGTTCTTCCCTTAATCTTTCATCTATGGATTTTTTCAATCTTTCTAGTAGCATACTACAAAATAGTTTCCCTGGTATCGAAAGCAGGGTGATGCCTCTCCAGTTGTTACAATCGGATAAATCACCTTTTTTAGGTAATTTGAAGATTACACCATCTTTCCATTGTTGTGGTGGGTATTCGTTTTGCCAGACTTCATCCATCAGCTGGAGCAAATGTTGCAGGGTGTTTTCATCCGCTGCTTTGAGCATTTCTCCTGAGATGTTGTCCTCTCCGGTAGCTTTGTTTATTCTTAATTTTTTAATAGCTGTTTTAATCTCCTCTATTGTGAATGACTCGCTGGAGGCAATTAGTGTTGGTGTAATAATTTCTTCTTCTAAATTGGCAATGATGTCAGGATTTGGCCTATTTAATATTTCCTTGAAATGTTCTGCCCATCGCTTTGTTTGTTGGTCGTCGGATAGCAGTAGTTTACCCTGCTTGTCTTTAATGGGTGTATTTAGTGTAGGTGAGTGATTGCACAGTTGTTTCATAATATGGAATACGGCTTTGTATTGGTACCACTGTCAAAACCAATGCAAGACAATCCGCCTGGAGCTGGGATCAAACTCGGCACCCCAGCATATGAAGCGTGTTCGCAACGCCTGAGCCACAGACAGCGACAGGTAAAAATGTAAATTAGAGTTTCATGTACAGGAAATGAGTTAACTAAACATAAAACTATGACTAGATAGCTCAATGACGGGGAAAATGGGAAAAACATGTACAGATACAACCAATGACTAAAACTTCTTCTTTTTCTTCCTGGCCCTCTGTTACAGTCAATACATCTAGTATACTTCTATCAAGTGGATTAATGCCTCACCTGTGATAACAGTTTCCGGCCCCTCTGTTACATTCAATACATCCAGGATATTTCTATCAAGTGGATTAATGTCTCACCTGTGATACATTCAATACATCCAGGATATTTCTATCAAGTGGACGTGATAACCCCTCTGTTACAGTACATCCAGTACATCTCACCTGTATATTTCTGTCAAGTGGATTAATGTCTCACCTGTGATAACAGTTTCCGGCCCTCTGTTACAGTCAGTACATCCAGTATATTTCTATCAAGTGGATTAATGTCTCACCTGTGATAACAGTTTCCGGCCCCTCTGTTACAGTCAGTACATCCAGTATATTTCTATCAAGTGGATTAATGTCTTACCTGTGATAACAGTTTCTGGCCCCTCTGTAACACATACATCCAGTATATTTCTATGGATTAATGTCTCACCTGTGATAACAGTTTCCGGGCCCTCTGTTACAGTCAATACATCCAGTATATTTCTATCAAGTGGATTAATGTCTCACCTGTGATAACAGTTTCTGGCCCCTCTGTTACAGTCAGTACATCCAGTATATTTCTATCAACTCTCTGACAAAATGGCTGCAGGGACCGGTGCCGGTGCATGAACACCACAGCATAGCCTTGCTTCAAGAAATATCTGGCATCATCTGAGTTAAGGGAAGTTACTTGCAGGAAAACGCAAGCATATACGAAAACAGTGGCTCCATCTGATTCAACAACCAGTGTTTCGCAAAATCACCTTAATTTTTGTCCCAGATCATGCTGGTGTGAAAGGCAATGAGAGAGCAGACTCCGAGGCTGGCAGTGCGAATATCAAGAATAAGTGATCCATGGACAGGAGAGACATCATCAGTGCCATACAAGAGACTTAAACGCTGTGAGGATTTCAGTTTCGTGGAAAATGATTTTTCACTCAATAGACTGCATACCCCGGGTGTGCCAACTGGAGCGGCAAGACAGGAAAACCATGCAGAAGCCAACCATCGTTACAGCAACCAGAACAGAATGGGAACTGTTAGTCTAAAAACACTTAGGGACACACTCAGGGGGAGATCGGAGCGCTTATGGTCATGTCCGCTGTGCTATGAAGATGATCTTTAAATAAACAATAAACAATGCACCTGCAGGTTGCTGAATGTAGAAGCCAGACCAATCATAATAGTCACAATCTTTTTGTGCTGCTCTCCAAAATGAAGGTTGGCTTCAGAGTACCCGAGGTATTTTGGGGAATATTAAATATGGTGAGGTCCCAATCGCTTGACCAGTGCGATCCTTACACAACTGTTTGAGAATGGTGAACCATTCACTATGGTAACTGAGCCCCAGTACTAGACGAAATGTAAGTAAAGGACCCTTTTCCACGCCTTCAGGAGTATTGGGCATATAGGGCTAGACCTATATTTCAAAGACCAATCTGCACTTGGTGGGTGATGTGGTCAACATCACACCGGCCGCCTTTACTTTCCAGAACACCACCTTGAACCCATTTAAAGTCGGATTGACCTGTCAACTAAGGTCATTTAAAAAGGAAAGTCTGGTGCCGACAGGACCCAAATCTATGACATTCCGATCTGCAGGCAAGAGTCTAGCCGCTACACCACAGTGGCTCCCTATGCAAGCGATGGATAGATGGAATATCTAAGGCTATAAATACCAGCATCTAGGTAGCAAACACCAAGGCTTGCACCCGATACCTCTTCAAAACTCAACCCTGAAAGTTAGAACTGGATTAGAGAAGAATAATAATAAAAATTCTTTCCCCCGTGTGGGTTCCGGGGCCCCATTGTTAGGAAAACAAGAATAGACCCACTGCCTCCACAACAAGCATGTCATAAGAGTCGACAAGCTGGGGGGTTGCTTCAAAGTCAGAGTACATCAGCCTGACAGACAAGGAACCAACAGTCTGCATACAAATAAACAAGATCTGTAAAATGGATGCACACGCAAAACTCAGGTCCTGGAACAAAGCCAAAGCCCAGAAATGGACAAACAACCAGGTTTTTCCGGCGGGGTTTACATCCAGTTAATGCAAACAATAACAACAACACAATAAAAAATTTTTTTTTTAAGTTCTCATTTGTCCACTGACTGATGACTGTTGGACAGACGTAAATTTCTCAGTGATTCAAACACCCTTCCCACCGACAATGAAACAAATGCCACAATTATAGCCGCCGTTTTAATTTCCCACTTTAATTTTGTGTTTACTTTCCCTGCAGGCAAGGATACTCAGCTGAAGTAGCCCCTCTAGTTCCAATGCTAAAGTTGTCCAGGAAACGAACAGTCCGGCTCTCAAGTGGGACAGTAGTACCTCCTGACTGCACCAAAAACAGAAGACAGAACATATGCCAGAATTAATATATAAAACTTAACTGGTAAATTTGGCATTAAAAGGAACAATGTATTGGACAGAGTAGATGATTACAAACTCAGCTGATTATAATTGGACAGAGTAGATGATTACAAACTCAGCTGATTATAATTGGACAGAGTAGATGATTACAAACTCAGCTGATTATAATTGGACAGAGTAGATGATTACAAACTCAGCTGATTATAATTGGACAGAGTAGATGATTACAAACTCAGCTGATTATAATTGGACAGAGTAGATGATTACAAACTCAGCTGATTATAATTGGACAGAGTAGATGATTACAAACTCAGCTGATTATAATTGGACAGAGTAGATGATTACAAACTCAGCTGATTATAATTGGACAGAGTAGATGATTACAAACTCAGCTGATTATAATTGGACAGAGTGATGATTACAAACTCAGCTGATTATAATTGGACAGAGTGATGATTACAAATTCAGCTGATTATAATCATAAGTAACCATACTTTTCATCCTCTTGGAAAGATGAAGCATATAGGGGCATGGAGAGAATGCTATAATGTTGATACTGGAATACACATTCTGACTTCTACATTATTCAATTCCAAGTTTCACAGAATGTTGAATGTTAAATTAAGAATCGACATCATAGTACTCGAGACACTCCCATAAGTGCTCAGTCCCCATCTTCAGCAGCAAGCGAAGAGTTACAATTTCGATGGTACCAGTCAAGTTTCACAGACAAATATGAGAAGCATTCAGAAAGTAATATCCCACATTTTCTCCCCCAAAAGCGTTGATGCAAAATGTGTAAAATTCACAGACTATATAATTCATAATGTATTTTACACATCGTGATTACCATCCGAATTGGAACTCTTCGCTTGTTGCTGAAGATGGGGACTGAGCACTTATGGGAGTGTCCTGAGTGCTGTGATGTGTTAGGGTATATTTTCGGCCCCGATAATTTGGGACCGTTATTCGGAGCATAGACAAATTATTTATATTTGTAGTGTCTCACTTTCTGAGGGCACTAATTTTGTCTGCAGAAAATGATCCAATACTGGAATGAGACCATCAGAATAGAAAGAGGTGGAAACGAACTAAACGGAATTAATGAGAATGTGTCTATATGCAGCGAAAGAACTATCTGTATACTTTAGGACTTTAGTGCCGGGTTAAAGGCGTTTACCAGTTTTTAGGGCGGTGTCAAAGTGTCATAAGCCGGAAAAATATCCCAAGTAAATAGACAGTTTAGCTGAAATAGAACTTCACTCACGGTGACTAACACAACTCGAGTGTTATTCTGTGCGTGTTTCCTCGTGAATTCATCAATCTGTATTTTCTTGGCACCAATGGACTCCTCGGGGATAAGGCTTTGAAAGAAGCTGGTGTATTCCGCAGAAGACGGCGACGACGGGGTGGCCATGCTAAACCATTCCAGTTTCCTTCAAGTCTGCGGCTCGACTTTATCAGAGTCATCTCCCTTGTTAAAGATCAAGTGCCGTATCAGGCGGCGCCGATGAAAACACCCCCCCCCCCCCCCAGAAAGTTAAACCCGCGACGTTTTGTTATCACAATCGACGTCACTGCACATTGTGCATTTCTATGCGTGCTCAGTTATCCGATGCAGTAGCGACTCCAGCGTACTTCTTACTAACTGTTCCTATATCAAGCTGATTATGTTGTCTTCTATCTGGGCCTCGAAGACGACATAGACGTGCTTCACCATGCTTTACTCCCATGTCACGCAATCGTGTTAGTGTCAAGGATTCCTTATTATCCTCTACCTCAGTCCGTACAGTGTTGACGATATCTGCTCTGTCCATGCTTCTTCCCACACGCGTTGGTGCATTGCTTGTCAGTTGGTCCCCTCGCTCATTACCCTTTACGCCCGCATAACCAGGTGTGTAGATCCAGGCGAGGGAGAGAGGATCGACTTATCCCATCTGACTCAGTCTCTCTCGGCAGAAAAGCCAGCTGCCTGTCGACGAGAGCTTCACACAAAGCACGAACTCCTAGCTCCAGCGATGACTCCTAGGGATCTCTCCCTGAAAACTGCACTCGAGAATCAAACGCCGCCGCCTTTAGGGTGATGGGGGGGGGGGTGTTCTTTTACGTTATGCTCCCCCCCCCCCCTTCCAAAAAATAATTTTAAGAATTTTTTTTTGAAACTTTTTGTTTATACATATATTATTGAAATAAAAAAGAGACAATTAAAATAATTTGGCCACATTGAAAGGCATGACACTTTTAAAAACCATAATGGAGAGAAAGGTCGAAGGCAAGATGTAGGCAACAATACAAGACAAGAGCATGTTAGAGATCCATAGCAGCCAGCCTTCACTGTGGAGACGGCACCTGATTGACAATGATCATTTTACTGTACCCTTGGTGAAATGTTCATTTCTGGCTGTCATGGGTTGCACTCCCATGACCACCAACCTGGACAAGTCCTGTTTATTGTCACGGGTTGAACTCTCATGTCCACCAACCAGCGCAAGCCCTGTTTATTGTCACGGGTTGAACTCTCATGTCCACCAACCTGGACAAGTCCTGTTTATTGTCACGGTTGTACTCTCATGTCCACCAACCTGCGCAAGCCCTGTTTATTGTCACGGGTTGCACTCCCATGTCCACTATCCTGGACAAGTCCTGTTTATTGTCACGGGTTGCACTCTCATGTCCACAAACCTAAACAAGCCCTGTTTATTGTCACGGGTTGCACTCCCATGTCCACCAACCTGGACAAACCCTGTTTATTGTCATGATCTTTTTCGCAATCTTTATCTCGTATGGTATTAAAAACAGTGAATCCTGTCCAGCGCCAGGGGGGTTATGTTAACTGCCTTGTTTGCCACATAATCTGCATGCTCATTTGCCTTGTATACCTGCGCATCCTGACACAAAGATAAATGTTAGGCGAGTTATTTGTGTTGCATTTAATAAATACAAGCAACCCTGTGAACATATACTTGATGCTCTAGCAAAGTAATGTAGCCAAGGCTGTCTCCAATACTGACTGAAAATGTATGAAGGAGAAAGAGGGGAAGAATAAATCAAGTTAAGAGAACATGTATCTTTTCCATGGCAAATGTGAGTAATGGACTCAGTCTTTGAAGAAGAAAATCTTAGCTTTTGAACTGAAACTGGTTTCAGAGCCCCATTTTTTTTTGGGGGGGGGGGGGGGGAGAATAGATCCACTGCCCCCTATCAAGAATTTTTACAAGGCGACTAATTAGGGGTGTTTCTTCGAAGTCGGAGTGCATCTGCCTGAGAGGCAAGGATCCAACAGACTGCATACAAATAAGCCAGATCTTTCAAACTGAAGTTCTGGAGCAAGACCAAAGTCTAGAAGTGAACGAACAACCCAAGCTTTCCACCGGAGTTTATAGCTGCTGGCTGAATGCTAAGAAGAACTAGAATGCTTCTGAAAGATTCTTAGAATACCTTGGAGCAAGGAGAAGAAAAATGTTGACATCCTGCATGACCTGAACATCCAGCAGAACTAGCTCACAAACAGTATCCTCTCTAGAAAGCTGAAGTATTTTAGACATGCCAAGCACCAAGGTGGTAAAGAGAAAACAGCGATGAAGGGTGCAGGTTCCAGAAAATAAGGCAGAAGCCGACCTCCATGACACTGAAGATACATTGGCTATGAAAGCACAGGCACGGATAATTGGCTAGGGAAACAGATACTTTCAGACATGCTGTAGAAAGAGTGACATTCTGTAACGCACCTGCTGACTGACTGATTGAACCTAACGCGAAGTTCTTGTTGGTTAACACACTAAACTATTTAGTCCATAAGTGCTCGGCTTGTCTCCTCGGTAAATCCAACAACATGTAGTGGCTGACAAAACCAGTTCTGTGTTCTGTCCTTGTATAGCGGTAATTATATCAGCATGGTTCACAAGCTCTTCAACTTAGCCTCTCCTGCAAGCCTATCAACTTGCTCATTTCCTTGTACATCTGCATGCCCATGGTACAAAAATTAAACTGATCTTTGTGAACCATGATCGTCTCAGTTTTATAAATCAATTTTTTTGGGACTGTCAAATCTCTGTCTTCCTCAGCACATTCATTAGGTCATTGAGAAAGCATGCTCGTCCAGCCAGGTTTAAGGCTCTGGTAAAATATAACAGTTGGTAGATCAGTGAAAAATGTTTGGGAAGCTGCGGAGGTATGGCTTTATAGACGGGAGATATTATCTTGGACAGATTAAAAAGAGTAATGACAATGTTTTGAAAAAAAAAAAAAAACCCCAACTCACTAAGAGAACTTACTGCCCACATTAGAAAGAGACAATCTACATTCTTTGATCATGTGATGAGAAGGAGAAAACTGGAGTACATCGTGACAGTAGGAAAGTTGGAGGGAAGGAGAGGCAGAAGGAGACCGAGAGAAAAGATGCTGTACAGTATGATATCACGGCATGGAGGATCATCTGTGTCAGAGCTGATTGAAAGTATAAGAGTCAAAAGGCTGTGGATAGACATGACTACCAATGCCACACGGCATGGGCTTGAAGATTTGATTTGATTCAAGAACCAACATCACAGCACTCAGGGCATTCCCATAACCCATAAGAGCTCCGTCCCAAACTTCAGCAGCCAGCGAAGAGTTCCAATACTAACAGTGCCAGTAGCATTCTGATTAAATGTCCGTCTTGCCTTTCCTCTGAGCCTCCTGCATCTGCCAGAACTGCCCACTGCATAAATCTCACCAGACTATGGTGATCCATCTGCTCCCCCGAACTATATACACTCTCCCACAAAGCACTAACCATGTCTGCCTTATCATGCATCAGTATTCCACCAAGTTGTGCAGAGCCAGCAAGTCTGTCCGTTGGTTCATTTCCCAACACACCGGCATTTCCTGGAGAAAAAATCCAGACAATACTCCTCATCTGTGTTCTCCGCAGTAAAGCATGCCACTCTGCACGAAGCATGCCTGTCCTGACCTTCCTCAGCATGCTTTCTGAGTCAGTTAAATCATGATGTGTGTGTGTGTCATGTTCTCTAGCCAGCAGAAAGCTACAGTGACCGCCTCCATTCATAAGCTGGATGTTGTGGTATCAACAAGAAGAGAGTGACATTCTGTAAAGGACATACTGACTGACTGATTGAACCCAATACAAAGTTCTAGTAAGTTGGTTAGTCGATGGACCATCCTCATTGCACACTGAACCATAAGTGCTCAGCTTCCCTCCTCAGTAAATTCCATGACATGTATTGGCTGACAAAACCAGTTCTGTGCTGGTTTAATTTTCTTTGGCTGCCTGTATAGTGCTGCTCATCAGGCCACATCCTAATTATCTTGCTGTCTTTTGCAGTCTGATCATGGCTGCAGACAGTCATCACTTGGTTCTTACAGATATCTCACTCCTTGTATGGCATTCATTATATCAGCAAGATTCACAGCTCTTCAACTTAGTCTGACTTGCAAGCCTATCAGCTTGCTTATTTCCTTGTACATCTGCATGCCCATGGTACGAAAATGCAAATGATCTTTTTGAGCCATCATTGCCACAGAGACCTAAATCAGCATTTTCAGACTGCCAATCTCTATCTTCCTCCTCATATTTATTAAGTCACTGAGAAAACATGCTAGAGTCCAGCCAGGTAAGGCTCTAGTAAAATATGACGTTAGATTAGTGAAAAAATTGTTAGAAGCCTCACAGATGTTGTTTTATAGACCGATGATGAGTAATGATGATGTTTTGAAAGAAATTGACTCACTAAGAGAACTTACTGCCCACATTAGAAAGAGACAATCTAAATTCTTTGAGCTGACTGAAAGTATACGAGTCAAAAGACTGTGGATAGACATGACTACCAACGGCACACACTTTAAGAAGAAAAAATACAACAAACTCAGACACATAATTAATGTTATACTTTATTCAAAAAACAGCAAGATACTGCAACAAAATACATCAGCTGTACAGAAAACAACAGCAAAACTCAAAATGACACTGAACACTTCCAATGAATGCAAACGAAAAAAACCCAGTCCATTTCCACAAAATCAGTAACATGTCTGCCGTTAGATATTTGTCATTTACTTAGAGAAAAATTACCATTTAGCAAATATATTAAAAATCTCATCGATTTAAAACAATCACCTACTACCCAACTGAATTTTCTTTAAATAACACTACAGAATTTCAAAAACCTTATGCTGACGTTTGTTATTTTTTAATATGTGCAGGCCGATGTTTGAATGTTCTGAAAACACCTGAAATATAGGCCTAACACTTCTATTGTAGTATTTTCCATAAAAAATATATCCTCCTACCTTATTTTTGGTTTCTCTACAAATATCACATATTCTTTAACATACAACATAACCAGTTACTGATTTTGCAAAAGTATGGTACCCTTTACAATGTTGGTTTCACACCTGAAGTTACAAGAAACTAACCAGGGTAAAAGTAATCTAACATGAAGATGTTAAAAAAGCTGGCCATGACAGGAAGTCAATATGAACTGTCTGCCAAAAATGCCAGAAAAAAATGGGATGTTTGTGAACTCAAAATGCCACAATAATAAAGAACACAATTATCACGAACAATTTCTCTGTTTGTTACTGGAATGCTTCAACTAAAAGTGATACACAAATACACAATATATTCAACAACAAAAGTACATTTAACAACAATGTCAATTTCAAGAAATCACTTCTTCTTTTTCTCCTTCCCATTAACCGGCTGTAAACTCCAGTGCAAAGACCTGGCTGTTCATCCACTTCTGGACTATGGTCTTGTTCCTCATTATATGCAGACTGTTGGTTCCTTGCCTCTCAGGCAGATGCATTCCGACTGGAATGGAAAATAAGTCACCATCTTCAGAAGCTATCTCTACAAGTTCAGTCTAAAACACCTTCCCCCCTGTGCCATCAAAGTACACAATCGCACCGGTAGTTCAGTGTTGTCGACACACATGTAACAGTGATTTTCACTTACTCGTTCTACTCGGCAACAAACTTTTAACAAGGAGAAGTGTTCCTTTATATGACCGAAGAGATCCTAAATTGTGTGCCAAAGTCACCTAAGAACTAAATCCTTATTTTGAGAAAACTGCATCTGAATACTGGGGTTTTTCTGAAAAATTGTCCAACTGTATGAAAGTAATACTTAATTTTTATCTATCCAGAGTAGGAATTCACACGTGTGCCTTTGGTATATTGTAAAGTGACAAATAACAGCCCTGAAAATACATTTAGGTGAAAATTGTCAAATACTCAGGTCAAAATGTTAAATTCTTTTCTGTGTTGTTTCCCTTGTCCAGACTTTGGGTCACCAGCACCTTGGGGCAGGTTTTTTTTGCAGAATCTCACACCATGACTATTCTGCAGCAAGATTCTCCATCCTTTGCCAATCTCCCTGCTGGATTTAAATTAAAAAGGAAAACATGTACAATACAAATACAACTGGTGGTGTAGTAGGTCTGCCAACCCGTCTTCGAACCTGGTGGTCATGGGTTCCAATCTCCTCCGAGAAACGTGGTTCAAAAGGTTGAACCCAGTGGCTCACAAGGTTGAACCAGTCTAAAAAAAATGAGCATTGTTAAATCGGGAGGAAAAATACCCACGCAGAGCACATGACAAGAAATATATATAATGAGGAGTTATGATAAATCCTTTCAACAGGTCGTGAGAACACTGACAAAGCTTACCATTTTTGTAACAAGCATCAACAACTGTTGAAAAATTCTGAACATTCTAAAATGTGACCAACAAATCTGACAAAATGTGACCAAAATCTGACATCCACACAATATTTTAACCTGAGAAGTCATTACATTAAATATTCAGTGGGCTCTGGTAGATGAATGTAATTCCAACGTACCGCGATTGAAACCCACTGCTGGCTGCATGGATTGTTATCAATGTATGGGGCGTCGTAGGTCGATCCAGCCTAAAATGGGTACCAGGAAGGTTGTCCTGGGTAATTAAAGGCAGCCGGTGTATTGCTGACCACAATACCCACCTAGTGCCGATAGTCTGTAAAAATATGGGCGCTCTTCCCATATGCCAGATACGCCTAAAGGCATGAAAAAGGATCTTTTCTTTACTTTAGTCTGGTAGGTGTTGGCCTGGTCAGTGACAAGATCTTGTTTAAAAAGGATTCGATAGCTGGTTCAGTTTCACAGTGGATTTGTTCCTAAAACAACTCTGGCTCTACTTCTTGTCCAAGAGGTGTCAATTAATACATGTAATTTACTTTTTATGTTTTACATCAGCACAGTCTGATTGTGTGTCCGATCTTCATATTTCAATGTAATTTTACAATAAATACAACACAACATACAAATTACAAAAGTGAATACATCTCATTCAACCAGACAAGTCCTGTTCCTCTCTGCTTGTGGACTATCCCCTTCCTGTGTGTGTGTGTGTGTCTGCATGCGTGCGCATGTGCCCATCCTTTTTGTGTGTGTGAACCAAATGAACAGAGCAAAAAACAGTTGTGAAAATACCTTCTTTTTTGCGTTCACCGGCTGAATATTCTATGATAGCGAACAACACAGAACAAACAAGATGTACTGATTCTTCATTTAAAAAAAAAAAAATGTCAGAAATGGTAAAATAGAATGCAACATACTAAAGCAACTCCCTGCTCACTTTTAACTTTATCCCCCAGTGGTGCATCAGCCCTTGACCAGCTCGTCCTATTGTTTGCTACCGCAGGCAACTCTCCCCATGTCCTCCCTATCTACTTAACTAACCCATGTCCTCCCTATCTACTTAACTAACCCATGTCCTCCCTATCTACTTAACTTCACTCTCTAGCTCCCTTCATCATGTTTATTTTTGGGTCTGCCTTTGTTTCTATGCTCCCTGTGGGTTCCAGTTTTGCAACATTCTAGTTATTCTAAGGCTTTCTCAGTATGTGTTCTATCCAGCACCACCATCATTCCTTCACCTCTTCTTCTTCTGCCTTTCTATCCCCAAATGGAGTATAGGCCCTCAACCAACTCACGCCAAGTCGTTCTATCCTTTTCCATTGCATGGAGGTCTCCCCATCTTTCTAGCTTCATTCTCCAACTCTCTTCTCCATGTGTTTTTTGGCCTTCCTTTATTCCTATGCCCCTGTGGGTTCCAATGCAAAGACATTCTGGTTATGCTGTTCTCCTGTTTTCTCAGTGTGTGTCCAATCCAGCGCTAACGTCTTTTCCTCACTGCTTGTTCCACTGGAGCCTGTTTCGTTCTCTCCCAAAGCTCTACATTAGTTATTCTATCATACCATTTAATTCCCTCTATTCTGCGCAGGCTTGGTTCACTGGAATGTATTTAATTCTCGTTAAAAGTTCAACACGAGGGCTATTTAACCAAATTTACTACTCAGGGGACACAATTAGGAAAATTTGGATCGTCACTGGCCTATGACCTGAGCCCCAGCACAGAAAGCTCATTAATACAATGTAGCTTAGATCCACGGGCCATGTGCTAGTCCTTTGCGGGTCAGATTTGGCCCACTGGCCACCAGTTGAATAGCCATGGATTATACCATTTCATACCCTCTATCCAACGTAAAGCAAACCATCCTTGTTTAAAAAAAGGAAAAGAAAAAAGTCTAGCTGATGAACTTTTATCTAAATAAACACAAGAAATCTACCAAGCAAAAAAAAAAAAAAAAACTAAACAACAGCAACTAATTAAACTGTTGTTCTCTTCATTAAATAAACCAAAAATAAGACATCAGATAACAACACTAAAAGGAAAACTAAACATAAACAAATAGGAAATGAATACAAAATGTTAAATCAAAAAAATACAATAGAAAGAAACATTCAACATGAATCAAAACTGGTAATGGATTTCGCTGAGAATTCTGAAGCATACTTTTTGATTTTTGTAAAACTCTCTGTATTTTGCTCAGTTAGGGTTATGTGCCTCTAATGCTTCTACTTAGTGCTCATTGGCTATAATGAACTCTGGTGGAAAGTTTTGGATGTTCCTTTAGACCTTAGTCTTGTTCCAGAACTTGAGTTTTGCAGGCACATCTGTTTGACAGGTCGGGCTTATTTGTATGCAGACTGTTGGTTCTTCTTCTCTCAGGCACAATACTAAATAGTCAACTTTTACAACCTACTTATTTGTGTATTTTTGGGGAATCATAGTGTCATTGTAATCATTTCTGGGGGACTATGCAACAGTAGAGTGGGAACCATTGTAGCAAAGTGCTTGCCTGCTGACTTGAAGGTCTGGTTTCACATTCACATTAGGTCAGATATTTCCCAGCAGCCTAAAATAAAATTGATGCCAGGAAATGTCATGGAAGGTAAATGTGGTCAACATGATGCTCACCACATCACCCTTGAGAGCCTAATGGTCAATCAAATATGTGTCTGGCACTATATACCCAATGGTGTGAAAGTAAAGGACTCTTTTTCACGACTTCAAACATATTGGGCATATAGGGCTAGATCTATATTTAACAGAACAATTGGCATTCTGTGGGCAATGTTGTCAGCATCCCACAAGCTCCCTTGATTTTTTTTCCAAGACCTTTACCTGGCATCCAATTAAGGCTTGGTCAACCTGAGAGCCAAGGTCATTTTTTGGAGGGAAAAAAACCCAGCTCCATTCAGATCTGAACCCACAACCTTCAGATCCACAGGCAAGGGTCTAGCCGCTACATCACTGTAGCTTCCAATGGTGTCAAAAAGATCCTTTTATGAATAGGAAAAGCAATAGCAGGACAATAAAAAGAGCTTGTGAGTATGTGCAAGGAATACTCGAAAGCTAAATAATGGAGGGGAGTGGAAAAGGGGAAAAGGGGGGGGGGGGGGGGGGGGGGGGAGAGAGAGAATCCAAATTTTCTGAAAATTTTACAACCAGAATAAGAAAATAACTGTACATACATTCAAACATGTTTGTGCCTGTGTTTAGCTGCACCTAGCCCAGATCTTATGCTATGACCACCTTCAAATCTAATAATATCTTTCGTAATGACATCTACAGTAACTTCAATGATTTCAAGACGGTATATCTTGTCTGTTGATCGCTCCACTCTCTGGGACCGTTTCCAGTTGGTTGGCTGTCAGTTCTGCAGTTGGAGATACTTCTTCTGCTGGCTCTCTGTTTGAACTTTCTTTGATTTCTGGCGACAGAAAAAAGAACTGTATTTAAGGAGACAGTCAACTGATCAGTTCAGTGAGAAACACACTACACATGACAAGCCACAATGAAACAGCCTGTGGGACAGGTGTGGGTAACACTACAGGGATACAAGGCAATCAATCTCTTTTCCTCTCGACCCCTATGAGCAGGTAGTCTGAAATCTTTCTCATACTATCTGTTACTGTACTGTCGACGTATAGAAGCTCCCAATGCATAAGATAATCCCTATTACCCCCCCCCCCCCCCCCCCCCCCCCCATGCGGCTCCAGAATCGATATGGTAAAAGTATTTACCTCTTTGACTGGAATTCATAATGTAAAGGGGATATGAGTCAATATTCAATCATTCAACAAAAAAAAAAAAACTTTTTTTAAAAATGCCAAAAAAAATCACAGAATCACAGATAAGCAAATGAACGAGGTAAGTCAGATATACATGGATAGATAAAATATACTGCAGTTCTAGTGATATACGGTATACGGGTGAATAAAACATGAGGGTTATGAAGGTGGCAGGATAACAAAGACCATTAATCTGTAGAAGCAAATGCTATTTGTTGGATCCTCTAAGACTAAGTCTGCATGTTGACTCTTTTCACTGTGGCATGTCATGAACACAAAGTTAGCTTTCACTGTGAAATCCCATGCACAATAAGCACAATTTATACTCATCTTTTTGCAGATAAAACCTTGGTGCATATTATCTTCAATAAAAACCTTGTTGCATATTATCTTCGATAAAACTTTGGTGCATATTATCTTCAATAAAACCTTGGTGCATATTATCTTCGATAAAACTTTGGTGCATATTATCTTCGATAAAACTTTGATGCATATTATCTTCGATAAAACTTTGATGCATATTATCTTCGATAAAACTTTGATGCATATTATCTTCAGAAAAACATCTCGAATATCCTATTTTATAGAAGACCATTTTGGGCCTAATCAGGTATGTAAAGCATATATGAATGTGTATCACACATGCAATTCTTTTCAGTAGAATTAAAAATGTATCAGTTTTTACTTATCAAAATATGTGTTTCCCTGTACTGGTTCAGGGGCCCCATTAGTGGGGTAAAACAAGAATAGACCCACTGCCTGCCCAAAAGCATGTCGTAAGAGTCGACTAATTGGGAGCTTCCTTTGAAGTCGGAGTAAGTGCATCTTCTTGAGAGGAAGGAACCAACATTCGGCATGCTGATGAGTCAGATCTGTGAAATGGATGGGCAGGCAAGACTCAGTTTCTGGGACAGGACTAGAGCCCAGAAGTGGATGAACAACTAGATTTCTCCACGGTAGTCCACAGCCAGTTTGATTATCAGGAAGGGGTTATCTATGGACAGGGGAGACATCATCAATGCCATACGAGAGACTAAAGGCTGTAAAGCTTCCAGTTTCATTGAAAAAGATTTTTCACTAAATAGACTGCATACCCTGGGTGTTCCAATTGGAGCAGCGAGACAGAAAAACCTAGGCGGGAGCCAACCGTCATTACATCAACCAGAAAAGAATAGGAAATGTTAGCCTAAAATCACTTGGAGACACATTCAGGTGGAGCCTGGAGCACTTATGGTCATGTCTGATGTGTGGATGAACTTTAGATGAACAATTAACAATGTAGAATCTCTGCCGTTGCTGGTCCCAAGCCCTGATGAGAAAGGATGAGGGCAGCATGAGGCCAGCTCCTTCACCCTGTAACAAAATTGTTTGCTACTGAAACTTGCAGGAAAGAAAGCCATTCACCTGACAGCAAACAATGATTAGAAGAGCTAGAGGTACTGGACTGTATTCCATCCATGACATTAAAGTGTTGCATAGGACAAGGTTTTCAAAAACAGAATCTTACGACGGATGTTTGGACCCATCAAAGATGCAAACAGCGGTGAACGAAGAGTGAGAAGCAACAATGAAATTCATAATCTATTTTAATCACCACTGATCATGAGGGCTAATAGACTGAAATAGTTAGGGCATATTGAAAGAATGTCAGATGACAGAGAAGTAAAAACTGTATACACGAGGGAGATGAATGGTCGTAGACAAAGAGGCAGACCAAGAAGACAATGGAGAGATAATATCCAATCAGACCTGCAAACACTTGGTGTTATCAACTGGAAAGAGAAGGCCAACCAGAGTGATGAATGAGGTGGGTGATATCTGCAGCAATTAACCTCAAGGGTTCGGAAATGCTGAAAAAGAAGAAGATAGGACAGAACGGAATGGAGAAATAGCCCTATGTGACACATAATGGTGCAACAGGACAATGTACTATGCTAGGTGTAACAAGGAAAGATCGACTTAGGAATGATGATATCAGGAGGAGAGACGGCACAGAACCAATACTAAACTTTATATTTAGACAACAAATCAAATGATACAGCGGTAAAGGAGCCAGAGGCTGACCACATAGAAAATGGACCACAGAAATATCAGAGAAACTGAGAAGCATGTTATACAAAATGAATAGAAAAGGCCGTTCCAGATATCTCTTCCTGCCCTGATAAGACGAGGCATTCCAAGAGTAGAGAAAAGAAGAAGCAGAATAGGACAATATTAATCTTCTTCTTCTTCATTCATCTGAAAATGTAAATGCGTTGTGTCTGTTTGCAGCATGGCTAAGAGCTAATCTACAAAGAATGACAACAGAAAACAACAGATACAAGCTGGCAAATGCAAAACTGACCTGTGATTGGTGTCCCTGCTAACTCAGTTCCATTTTTGTCTGGTGTCACAACAATGTTGTTGACAACTTCCTCGCTCGCAGTGGCCGAATGAGGACTGGGTGTGGCAACATCCACTGGATTGGCCTCCACAACGGAAGATGAGGTCTAAAAATGTGAGTTAACAATTTAATGGTTAGAAATGTGATTCTTATTGTTCCCCCACTGCATTATTTTGGATATGCTGAAAATACTACGTCTAGCCAAAATAAGTAATCTAAGTGTTTTGAAAGGGGGTTAAGATACAAAGGAAATCAATACAAATGGAAATCCAAAGGAAAAACAAGTATATACTCATCTATTAAAACAAAAACACTTGTCTAGTCATGTCTATCTACAAACTTCTATCACGTGTGCCAATCATGCCTTGCGGTACCGATAGTCATGTCTATCTACAAACTTCTATCACTTGTGCCAATCATGCCTTGTGGTACCGATAGTCATGTCTATCTACAAACTTCTATCACTTGTGCTTTCAGCCATTTCTGACAAAGGATTTTTCATGCCATGATGTCAAACAAAGTGTCTATCAATTTCTGACAAAGATTTTTCATGCCATGATGTCAAAGTGTCTATAATTGTCTCCCTTGATCCCTCTCTGCTTCTCTTCCACAGTTGTGTACTCCAGCTACCTCCTTCTCATGACATAACCAAATAATTTAGACTGTCTTAGTCTGATGTGGGCAATCAGTTCTCTTCATGAGTCAGTTTCGTTCAAGACATCTCCTTTACAGTTTTTACCAGTCCAGGGTGTTCTCCTTCACCTATAAAAACTCCATCCCATCCTCGCCACTTCCACATAAGTTTTCATTAATTGGCCAACTGATTCACTTCCGTATGAGAGGATTTATATGGCTTATCAGAATTCTTTCTCACTTCAGTTGCAACTGACATCAAACCAGCTATACCCTCGTGTGGGCTCTGGGGCGCCCACAATGGGGGGAAAAACAAGAACAGACCCACCGCTTCCCTAACAAGCATGTTGTAGGAGTTTACTAATTAGGGGATTCCTTCGAAATCGGAATGCATCTTGCCTAAGAGGCAAGGAACCAAAATTCTGCAAACAGGCGAGATCTGTAAAATGGATGCAAATGCATGAACAAGTCAGGTCATTGAACAAAGTCAAAGTCTAGAAATGGACGATCAACCAAGCCTTTCTGCCAGGATTTACAGATGGTGAATGCAAGGTGAGGTAGAGCTGGCGAGAGACCGAGTTTCTTTCAGGCAGACCGTGATGAGAGTGAGGTTCTGCAAAGGACCCGCTACATGATGATGAATGTAAGGAGAAATCCTACCATAACAGCACTCTTGTCCACCTCCATCGGTTCATGGTTTCCACCGATGAGGCTGGAAGCTAAATGTCCATCGGCCAAATGTGTCCCAATAGTCTGTCCTTCCTCTGAGCTGATCTGGGTCTGGGCTATTCTCCTCTCCTCATCGTGTGGCTGTGCTACGTGCTGGTGCTGTCGCTGTTTCAGTTCATCCTTTACTGCTTTGTTGACCATACCACTGAACATCTCATCCGAAATCTGTGGCTTGGACTCGCACAACTGCAGAAGATGACAGAGATACACATGACATGTATTAATGCCATTGAAAACAAAAACAACTGAATAGTACCACAGATCATACTGAATAATTTAACAATACCATAGACAAAGTCAAATAAGTGAACAATACACAAATAAAATTTCCCAGTGGGCGTTTCCAGGACCTCATTTGGAAGGGGGGGGAGGGATTGACCCACCCCCGCCCAGACAAACATGTCATAAACGGAGATGTTTCCTTCGAAGTTGGAGTGCATCAACTTAACAGGCAAGGAATCAACCATCTGCAGACAAATAAGCCAGATTTGTAAAATGGATATGCAGGCAAAATTCGGGTTCTGAAACAAGCCTAAAGTCTAGAAGTGGCTAAACAAGCAGAACTTTCCACCAGAGTTTACAGCCGGTGAACGTGAAGAAGATATTCAGAGCTGTTTACACAGGAAAACTATGAGACATGTTTAAAATAATATTAAGCATGTGACAAAAATGCCTTTCGTCGCCTTATTACTCTTACTGACTTGACATAAATATGAGAAAGAAAAAAAAAAGACAGCAATAACAACAAAACTGGGCACATACCCTCTTTAGCTCCTGATGAAATGACTCATTAGACTCCATAAACTTCTTTTTCTTTTGTTCATGTTTGTCTTCTATCTGGTGTAATTCCCCTTCCAGTTTTTTCTGTGAAATACAACAAGTGTACAAACCTGTCAATCTGTCAAACCTGTCAATCTGTCAAACCTGTCAATCTGTCAAACCTGTCAATCTGTCAAACCTGTCAATCTTCTCTTAGTGGAAATTTCTCATTCCTGCACAAATAATATCCACATATGACTGATTTGATTTGATTCAAGAACTAACATCATAGCACTCGGGGCATTCCCATAAGTGCTCCGTCCCCATCTTCAGCAGCCAGTGAAGAATTCGATACTAAAGATGGCGGTAGCATTCTGATTAAACGTCCGTCTTGCCTTTCCTCTGAGCCTCGAGCATCTGCCAGAACCTCTCGACACTCCCCTCTGCATCAATCTCACCAGACTATGGTGATCCATCTGCTCCTCCAAACTGTTCATATCCACATAAAGAACAAATTTTAATTAAAAAAGGGCACAGCGACTAAGACAAGTTTGGGAAACACTGCCCTGAAGCATAGCAGAGAGTGGTAAGATGTAGTTTCCTGACTTTTGCTAGTTTTGTAGCTTGTGGTAATGTCTCACTGTGTTGATGTCACGTCTTTTATTCTTCCTAACCTTCTTTGTCAGCCTCTGGTCTTGTAGCCTGCTGTTCTCATGTTGTACGCTCTAGCTGCTGGCTGATTTTGTTCCATTGTGACCAGATGACTAAACCATTTGATTCTTTGATGTTCTATGAAATCCTTTATTTAAGTTTAAATAGTTTATTAACTGCCGCTGTTAAGGGGCAGACGAAGTGCATGGGGGTTCATAACAAAAACAAATGTTGAATGCTGAATTAAGAAAGGACATCACAGCACTCGGGACACTCCCAGAAGTGCTCCGTCCCCATCTTCAGTAACAAGCGAAGAGTTCAAATTCTGATGGTACCAGTAACAGTCTTGGATTGTATATCCGTCTCGCCCCTTCCCTGAGTGTCCAATGTCGGCCAGATCCCCTTGTAACTCCTCGCAGTGCCATTCTCCTCAGAGCGTAATGATCTATCTGTTCCTCGGCACTGTTCACTCACTCCCAAAGGGCCCTCACAACATCCAGCTTGTCATATATCAGTTCACCAACAAGTGGTGGTCACCACCCAATGTGCAGCGACGTTGATTGTGATAACATAACATTTACACAGCCCTAAAATGCTGTATATACAGACAGTAGTGACAGTTTAAACTGACATATTTGTGAAGCAGATACCTGATGCATGGTCAAAGACTGGACCTGCCTCTTGAGCACGGTCATTCTGGCCTCAGTGACAACACTGCGGACATCTGGCACGACCATGTCACTGAAGATTTCATTGATGAGACGATGGTTGCGTATGTACCTGGCCTGGGCAATGTGTTTGGTTGTAAAACCGTCCTCCAAATCTGAGATACACAATGTCAGTGAATATAAATATTAACACGAAATAAGTTGAGTCGAGTCAAGAATTGACATCACAGCACTCCGGGCATTCCCTTGCATGCTCCATCCTCATCTTCAGCAGCCAGCACAGAGTTCCAAGACTGATGGTACCAGTCACAATCTGGTTATATGTCCGTCTTGCCTTTTCTCTCAGCGTAGTGAGCCGGCCAGACCCGCTGGTGACACCCAGATGCCCTAATGTGAGTGAACATATAACTACAAAGCTCGACAAAAGGATAGACACATATACAAGTGAATACTTCAACTAAACTCTTTATTTTTTTTTTAAACTTAATTTTTAAACTGAAACAAAACAGTTAGCTACAAACTGAACTATTTCAATTAAAACTGAATGAGTCTTCCTACTGATGTAAGAAATAACAAACACAACTTAGGTACTTATAAATTTTATATGTAATACTTTAGGAGTTGGAAAAAGAATAGCAAAAAACAAAGGGAAACAGAAGAGAAATGGGTAAAGAACTGGAGACAGCGGTGAAATTAACTATGATCCTTGACCTTACCATCATCATCATCCATTGGCAGAATACTGATTCTTGACCCTTCACCTTTTGAACTCTGGAAAAGAAGAGTCAATATGTATTCACAAAATAAACATGATTCAAGAATAATAATGTGGAATTTTGTGTTGATTTCTATATATAGTTTTGTTTTGTAACTGCCTAAATCTGTCTTAGCAGAAACTGACACATCCCTAAAGATATCATAATCTGTTATGGCCCACCCTCCTTCTTCGTCGACTGACCATAAGCTCTGGCAGAAAGTCCTGATTGTTCCTCTATCTGGGCTTTAGCTTTGTGCCAGGGCCTGAGTTTTGCATGTACAGGGCCTGAGTTTTGCATGTACAGGGCCTGAGTTTTGCATGTACAGGGCCTGAGTTTTGAATGTACAGGGCCTGAGTTTTGCATGTACAGGGCCTGAGTTTTGCATGTACAGGGCCTGAGTTTTGCATGTACAGGGCCTGAGTTTTGAATGTACAGGGCCTGAGTTTTGCATGTACAGGGCCTGAGTTTTGCATGTACAGGGCCTGAGTTTTGCATGTACAGGGCCTTAGTTTTACGTTTTCCTGGCTTATTTGTGTGCATTTGGTTGTTCCTTGCTGCTTGGGCAGATAAACTCCGACTTTGAAGGAAGCTCCCAATTATTCGACTCCTTCAACATGCTTGCTGGGGAGGCAGTGGGTCTATTCTAGTTTTGCCCACAACTTGGCCCCAAAACCCACACAGGGATGCATGGCCCTCCCAAAGGAGATCAAGATTACTTGTTTGTGAAAAGCAAACACAGAAATAAATGAGACCTGTGATAAGAGATGAACTGTGTGCTATACAGTCTATGAACAAAAAGCCGGTAGCAAGTCATGCATACATACAGAATGGTTTGACAGTTAAGAAAGGACCTTTTTGCACGCCTTCAGGTGAACTGGGCATATAGGGCTAGACCTATATTTTATAGATCAATTGGCACTCAGTAGGTGATTCTAGCCACCTTTAATTCCCAGGACTTCACCTGGTATTCATTTAGGGCCGGGTCGACCTGGGAGACAAGATTTTTTTTTTTTAAAGTCAGGTACCGGTTTGACAGGGGGCACATATATTGCCTACATTTCATGGAAAGAAATCAAACTGATTGCAAAGTAGAACCGATCAGCTTAACATTATCACGATCACAATCGCCAGGTGAATGTTGCAGCTAAAAAGCCTTCATCGGCACTTTTAATGAACAGACAATGTTAAAATTGTTAACAAAAATACACAAAATCACTTACAAGAGGTAAACATTCACATGTTTGTCTGACTAAGAAACATTCACATGTCTGTCTGGCTGAGAAACATTCACATGTCTGTCTGGCTGAGAAATATTCACATGTCTGTCTGGCCAGTAGAAACTCTGATTCATGTGTGAAGTGGAAATGAATACCAGCCAAAAAAGTTGTGACTGGCAAGTGCCATAACCCAAAAATATCCAACAAAGCTGCACTGTACTTAAAGTCCTTTTATTGATTTGGGATTTATTGCCTATGAACCAGACACTGTCTTCAGAAGACAGAAAGAAAATGGTCAGGAAAGAAATGAAATGTTTACATACTTTGCTAGGTGTAATGATGAAAGATCGACTTAGAAACGACGATATCAGAAGGAGAGCCGGCACAGAACCAGTACTGAACTTTATAGGCTGACAACAAATCAAATGATCAGGCCATGTAACAAGATTGGCATCGGACAGCGCACCAAAAAAAGCAATGTTATACAGATATAGCGGTAACAGAGCCAAAGGTCGACCACACAAAACATGGACCGCAGAAATTAAAGAGATACTGAAAAGTATTTTAAACGAAGCAAACAGAAGGGCGTGTTCCAGAGATCTCTTCCTGCTCTGAGGCCACGAGGTATTCCAGGAGAAAAGTTGAAGAAGCCAGGAGTAGAGAAAAGATGAAGAAGCCAGGAGTAGAGAAAAGATGAAGAAGCCAGGAGTAGAGAAAAGATGAAGAAGCCAGGAGTAGAGAAAAGATGAAGAAGCCAGGAGAAGAGAAAAGAGGAAGAAGAACTGGACTCTCTCTTAACCTCTTTCAGAGCCATAATGACCAGAAACAAGAATCCAGCTAGGTAATTCAACCCAGATTAATCTTGGTAAGAAAGTACTTGACTGACTGACTGACTTTCTACCCCACAAGGACATCACACAAGCGATAAACACCTGATGACACAAAGTGCCACCATGTGGGTGAGGATCGCCGTGGAGAGGTCCCAGAAACCGCATTCAGACAATTGGCCATATTTATGGCCTGCCTATATTGCGGCCCCTGGCAAAAGCCAGGATAGGGCTTCAAATAACAAAAATACTCGTCCTAAAAAGGACGAAACACGTATTACTAATAAATGGTTGTAAAGTAGAAAATATTGTAACCACATCAGAACTTTAGCTCCACTGTAATCTGCTATTTTTCTTCACCCTTTTCTCTCTCACTATCCCACTCCAGCCTTTCTTTATTCTCCACTTTTTTTTTTCTCCTCTGTCCAAATCTTATTCTATTTTTGTGCTGACCACATTATTTTTTCTTCCTCCGCTTTCTTTCTGAGACTGGACTGGCCTGCTTCTTGAGCACGGTCATTCTGGCCTTGGTGACAATACTGTGGACATCGGGCACAACCATGTCGCTGAAGTGTTTATCAACATTCTCATGCAGCATATCTACACACACTTTCTCTCCCCCACGATGCTAGATTTTGTTTTTCTTTTTCTGACAGCCCCCTCACAATGAATACATGTTCACTCTTCCCTTCGTCTGCTTTTCTAGCCCCCAATGGAGCAAAAGCCCTCAACTAACTCACACCAAATCATTCTATCCTTCGCTACTGCTGGTAGCTTTCCCCATATTTGTAACCTCTCTGGAGGGAGACTTTCCTAGGTGAGAGGAGGTACGTCGACGATCTGGACTCCTTTCGGCTTTCTCCACACCATGTCATACTTCTTCTACTAGAAGAGCCTCCCCTTATCTTGGTTGGGTTTATTCTTCTAGTTTCTCTTTTCCAATGGTTGGTATGTTTTTGTGGCTACTGTTCTCAACCTTGAGCCCAACCATAAACATCAACAGCACGATCTTCCAGTATTACATCCACACTTTTACTAAAGTCAAATATGAGAATATAAATTTACTGGTTTGTGGGAAGATACTGGAGGTCTTTCAGGTCGAACAACTGGTTCATCTTCATCAACAGCCTCTCTCTCAGCTGAAAGATAACATAACGTATGAAAAAGTGTTGTATGTATAGAAGTATAAAAATTTTTTGTAGCGTTATAATGTGAAGCTTGCTAATATACTTTTCGTTCGGTTTTATACCTTTTCTTGACAGAAATATAAAAGGAATGTGCTTGTGTATGTATAGAAATATAAAAGAAATGTAATAAACGGTGGGAAGTGAAACAAAAAAAAAATCACATTTTTGCAAGACCCATTAACATTTATATATATAAGATGTTTCTAAGATCTATGACTACTTACTCGGCACTGTCATTTATATAAAAGAATCAAGTTAGTTAAAAAAAAAAATTTTTTTTTTTTGGCCCCTATCCCTCACTGGGACATAGGCACTCAACCAAATTTTCCTATTATTTGCCATCGCAGCAGCTGACCCCGTGTGTCTCCCCCCACCTTTTATAATTTATTTTTAAATCTCAATCTCTAATGCTCCTCTTTTTTTTTTTGAGTTTCTTCAGCCTTCATTTCTTTTATCCTTAGACAACATTACACTGTAAAGATTTCAGAAATGACAAAAAACCCAAACCCTTAATATTGTGCAGAAGAAGTAAATGTAATAAGAAAGGAAGAGAAGCAGAAGCAGAAGAAAGAATAAAAGGCAAAGAGGTAGAAGAAGGATGAGGAGAAGACAGTGGAGAAATCAACGTCTTACCTTTAGCAGCAATCCAAGCCTGGTAGGCTGGAGAATTGTGATAAGCTTTCAGAGCATCGGTGTACTGTGTCTGTGGGATAAATGTGACATGTTTATTGTCATTCTCACACAATGTATCTATGTACTGTGTCTGTAGGATAAATGTGACATGTTTATTGTCATTCTCACACAATGTATCTATGTACTGTGTCTGTGGGATAAATGTGACATCTTTATTATCATTCTCACACAATGTATCTATGAACTGTGTCTGTGGGATAAATGTGACATCTTTATTGTCATTCTCACAAAATGTATCTATGAACTGTGTCTGTGGGATAAATGTGACACGTTTATTGTCATTCTCACACAAAGTATCAATGTACTGAGTCTGTGAGACAAATGTGACATCTTTATTGTCATTCTCACACAATGTACTGTGTCTAGGAGACAAATGTGGCATGTTTACTGTCATTCTCATACCATGTACCATGTCTAGGAGACAAATGAATTTATCTATAAACAAACACAAAGAAACAGACGGTACCTTCTCAACGTCATATTCCTCCTGGAACTCCTGCTTCTCTTGGTCAGACAGGTCCCGCCACATCTGGCCAATGATCTTGCCGATCTCCCAGAGCTTGAGGTCAGGGTTCTGTGCCTTGACTTGCTCCCAGACCTGCATGAAGACCACACACAATCACACCGCACAAACATAGGGTAACTACAAACACCTTATTTTCACTGCATTCTTCATTTGCATCAGTGATTCCCAAACTGCTGGACACTGACAACTTGGCTCCTCGACCTTATGTCCACTTTCCCCAAGTTAACACTTAAAAGTAAAAGGACCCTTTTCCACACCTATTGGGCATATCGAGTTCTACAAATATTTTGATAGGACAATCGGCACTTGGCGGATGATGTAGTCAACATAACCTGGCCGCCTTCACTTTCCAGGACTGTACCTCACACCCATTTAAGGCTTGGTTCTTTACCTGGGGCTTGGGTCATTTTTTTTAAAAGTCCGGCTCTGTCAGGATCCGAACCCATGACCTTTTGATTCGCAGGTAAGCATCTAGCCACTACACTATAGCAGCCCCCCCCCCCACCCTTGGCTTGCTTTGCAGATTGTCACATTCAATCAGCATTCCAGAAGGGCTAGAGAACAAGATACACACAGGTCGTAATTGTAACGGACTCTGAAAGCATGCTGAAAAGGATGAAGACAGGATTGCTTTGAGCAAGGTCATGGGGTAGTGAGCATTCTTTGGATCTTTTCTTAAGGCCATGCTGACGTAGTGATGAATGAACAGGCAGACAGAGGGGCTGGATCTGTACCGCTGGGTGGTGAACTGATACATGACAATGCAGATGTGGTCAAGGCCCTTTGGGAACAAGAAACAAAGTCAGAGGAGAAACAAGATTATTATTGGCTAGAGACAAGGATGCACCTGGGTGTGACCAGAGGGTTCGGCTGGAACACTACGCTAAGAGGAAAGGCAAGACGGAAATACAACGAGACTTCAACCCGCACCATTAGTATTGGAACTCTGCGGTGGCTGCTGAGGATGGGGATGGAGCGCCTATGGCCTATGTTTCCATCCTCCCAAAATGCATCTTAGTTGGGGTTTCAACTTCACTGCAACTAGGTCACCCTATACTTGCTCCGTTCCTGTGCCAGTTAAAATCAAAGGAAATGTCCTTCACTGTCCCACTTGAAAAACTAGTGAACAGACTATTAGTCCCAGCACAATCCAGAAACATGTGCACTTAGTAAATGCTGATGGAAATTTCTAGAGGTGCCAAAGCCAACAGTTGCCACCAGAAATGTAGTCTGTCGTTTATGCAGCTACACAACACCAAAAATTAGATGATGGTAAAAGAAAATTCTGTGAACAAACCTTTCCTATTACCTTTCTGCTGTATCGCATGTAGGGCATGAGAGGCTTGTCTGGAGGCTTGGGGGGCTTTGGAACACGGCCCTCGGACTGCTGAAGAAAGACAAAGTTCAAATTAATCTTCAGCTGTACACTATTTCAGTTTAGCCATGTCATTCAATTTAAAGAATAAAATGGGTCATGTGGTCAGAATAGCACACAATCAGTCAGCAGCTAGAGCATACTACATGAGAACAGCAGGCTGTAAGGCTGACCAAGAAATAAATAGGTGGAGGGAGGTAAAAGAGATACTACAGGAGTGCAATATGACACTGACACAAGCTACGTGACTGACACAAAACAAGAAGATACATTTAACTTCTTCCAGTGGGGCTTTACCGCAAGCAGTAGGACACATACAAAAGATTTTACATTTTAGACTACATAACATCTTCAATCATTTACCACTGTTACCTTTACCTAATCTGAATGTATCCTTTGGTATTTCATGTGATGCCTCTGATGTGGGAGTTACTATCGTTACTGGTACAGGAATTCTGAGGCACCATGCATCCAGTTTTGTATGCAAGTAGGAAGCTGTCCCTGGCAGAGACATGCTACAGTGTGATGGAACAAGAGTGCGTGGCCATAATGTTTAGAGTCAATAGGTTTTCCAAGTTTCTGTATGGGAACCACTTTACTATCTTCACTGATCACCAGTCACTAAAAGCACCGAGTTCGGCAGCAGTGAAGAATGCCAAAGTACTTAGATGAGCATTGATGCTGCTGCCATACCATTTTAGTGTCCACTACATCCGAGGGAAAGAGAACATCATTCCAGATTACTTATCAAAGACAACTTGGTAGGTAGGTAGTTAGTTGTACACCACCAGGACATCACACAAGCGATAAACACCCGGTGACACAAAGTGCCACCATGCGGATGAGGATCACCCGTGGAGAGGTCCCAGAAACCCCTTTCAGCCGTTAGGCCATATCTATGCCCCGGCTATATGCAGGGCCCCGGAAGAAGCCAGGGTGCGGCTTCAAAAAACAGAAAATTGCATCCCACATGGGGACGACTTCAATTACTGCTTGGTAGTACAATTGTTCTGATTTGTGTTGTTTTGAGAGATAGCCATTTACTTAGAACAGCTTAAGATTATGTGTGAAAATATACTGTTCATGTTAGGAATCTAATTTAAGTTACAGACTGCATTCTACCAGGTGCTGAGAACAACAGTCATGTCTCCAAGAAAGAGGAACAGTCTCGTGTTTGCTGGAGGAAAAGGGGGGGGGGGGGGGAGAGGAAATAAACGGTTGTGAGCAATATATAAATATTTAAAGGGTTACATCCTTTGGGAGTATAGTCCATTCCATATCTATACAACACTTATAACCCTTGGAGTTTAGATTTAAACTTTTTGGGGTAATATGTAAATCTGACTGCAGACCCGTTTGCCGGGATCAAAGGTTCAAGAGCCTGTATAGCCGTGCAATAGGAGGAAACGATGTCGAGTTTATAAATGAGTGTGAACCATGGTCTTCATGCCAGGCATGAGAGAACTCACATGGAGATGGTGAACTGTATGTTGATATTAGAAGCAGTTCACTCCACGAAGTCGGAGGAGCAGTTGACTCCGTGAAGTCGGAGCAGTTTGCTCCATGAGTCAGAGCAGCAGTTGATTCTACACATTGGAGAGGAAGGAAGCACCGTCAAGAGCCCCTGAGAACTGATGCTGTTTTTAAGTGCGCCACTGTAGGCTGTTATCAGGGAGCTCTGTTGGCGTGTGTGAGTGTAGATTCTAGTCTGGGTGTTGCCAAGCTAGACTTGGGCATCTATGTGATGTGTCACGCTGGGTGAGGGAATCAAGTGTTCACGTTGTCTGTGGGAGTTGCCGCAGTAACAAGATTCCAGCGTGATGGGTTCGTCATGTGAGATATTCAGGATATTTAGAGGTCACATGGTGGAATGGACTTGAGAGCAGTTGACAGATGGTGACTGTCTCAGGTCCTCCTGCAGTTTCTCTTCCTGTTCTCCTCCTCCTCCTCCATTTTCTACTAATTCCTCTATTCTTCTGCTGCTGCTCCTCTTCTGCTTCTAAATTCACTCTTTAAAGAGCAGTCGGCCCACAGTGTTGTTGTTTACCACCAAACTGCGATATCTGCACTGCATCCTCCAACCCAACCCATCTGATTTCAGCAAACTCTCAATCACTTTTATAACATGCTTGTCAAGCCACGGTGGATCTGTTGCCTCCTTCAATGGAGCATCAAAAGCTGTATGAGGATCATCAATCAGCAGGTCACGCCGCTGTGTGGAAAATGAGCAGGTGGATAGACTGGCCGGTTCTGCACCACTTGGTGGTCAACTGATATATGACAAGCTGGATGTTGTGAGGGTCCTTTAGGAGCGAGTGAACAGTGCAGAGGAACAGATAGATCACTAAGGTCTTAGAAGAATGGCACTGCAAGGAGTTACAAGGGGATCTGGCCGACGCTCGACGGAGGGGCGAAAAGGATATACAATCAGACTGTTGCTGGTACCATCGGAATTTTAACTCTTCGCTTGCTACTGAAGATGGGGACGGAGCGCTTGTGGGAATGTCCCGAGTGCTGTGATGTCCATTCTTTATTCAACATTCAACCATCAGGCCCTCTATAGAATGTCACTTTCCACCCCCGTGTGGGTTCCGGGGCCCCATTGTGGGGAAAACAAGAATAGACCCACTGCCTCCCCAAAAGCATTTCGTAAGAGTCGACTAATTGGGGAGATTCCTTTGAAGTCGGAGTGCATCTGCCGGAGAGGCAAGGAACCAACAGTCTGTATTCAAGAGAATGAGATCTGTTAAACTGATGCACATGCAACACTCAGGTTCTGGAGCACGACTGCAGTTCAGTAGTGGACGATCAACCAGAACTTTCCGCCAGAGTGTACAGCTGGTGAACGCGAAGAAGAAGAAGAAGAAGTCACTCTCCTCACGGCATGCCCAAAATCTCTTCTTTTCTAGCAAATTCTCCAGCCCTATGTGCTTTCATCTGCAATGTCCTATCCACATTCACCAAAGTCTGCCTCTACCTCATTTTCTGGAAACTGTATCCTTCATCACCGTTCTCCCCAGACTACTGTAACATTTAACATTGCCAAAGTACTCCATCTTTCGCAACAGGGTGCTGTTTATGAGCCAATTCTCCTCGATGCTCAGATCACGTTTGGTGCTAACGTTTTTCTTCTTATAATATGAGGATAACCTATGTAATATTACAATGCCTAACATGCAGGAACAAAAGCACTTTTTCCTCTTCTTATCATATGAGAAATAAACTATGTAATAATACGACGCCTAACATGCAGTAACAAAAGCCAAATATGGCTTAATTTGTATGGTAATGAAACTGAAGAGCAAAATCTTAACATGAACAGTTGTTTAACTTACTGCTGCGGCTGCTTTAGCTGCCTGTCGAAGAGAGAAACAAGACATTGTGTTAGTGGGCAAGTTTTCTGATATCTGAGACAAATGGGACATAGCTTTAAACAACTATTTGAAACTATCATCAATGCAAATTTCCTCACTACAACTACTAATACTATAAGTACAATAACAACAGCAGCAGGAGACACTACTACTACTGCTGCAACCATCACCACTACAACTACTGCTAGAACTATAATTACAACAACTACTACTGCTGCTGCTATTATTACAACAACAACAACTTCTACTACTATTACCACCACCACCATTACTGCAACTACTACTACCAACAATGCTCTACTCTGAAGGCATGCTGAGAAAGGTGAAGACAGGGATGCTTCGAGCAGAGTGGCAAGCTTCACTAAGAAAGTCACGGGTAGTGAGCACTGGATTTTTTCTCCAGGCTATGCCAGCATAGTGGGTAATGAACAGGCAGACAGATTGGCTGGATCTGCACCACTGGGTGGTGAATTGATACATGACAAGGCAGATGTGGTCAATGTCCTTTGGGAATAAGCAACAGAATTAGCAGAGAATCAAGATAATTATGGCCTGGAGAGAATGAGGCACCTGTAACCACAGGGTCTGGCCAGCTTACTACACTCAGAGGAAAGGCAAGACGGACATATAACCAGATTGTGACCGGTACCATCAGTATTGGAATACTGCACTGGCCACTGAAGATGAGGACGGAGCACGCATGGGAATGCCCCGAGTGCTGTGATGTCAATTCTGGACTCAACTCAACTCTGCAATACCCTGACTAACTGAAACTTAATACTGTACGGTAGAGCTAACAACAAACTTACAGTTGCCATGCCTCTAGACCTGGTAGGGGTAAAGTTAGGATGGCCATGTGGAGATGGTAGAAATGGGGTTGAATTCTTTTCCTGTGGAAAAAAAGAGAAAATTATAAAACATAATCGTCATCACCATCATGAAGCAGGTCGCCTGCAGAACGTCGCTCTATTCACAGTCTGCCTGAAAGAAACTCAGTCTCCAGCTGTCCCGCCTCATGTATTTCATTTTCAAGGAGTCACTTATATCCTGAGCCCATCTTCATGTTGGTCGCTCCCAGCTTCTCCTTCCAGGTACCATGCCTTCTGCGATTATTTTTTCAAATCTGCCATGGAACTTGATATGGCCAATTATCTCAGCTTCCAACTTCTTGATGTTAAGATCTTTCAGAAGGTTACTATTTCTATAAAACACAATAAAAATCATAACAACAATAATCATAACAATATTGCTACTAAAGGACCTTTTTCCACACCTTCAGGCATATTGAGCACACAGGACTAGACCTACATTTTAAAGACCACCTAGTGCTTCGTGAGTGATGTAGTCAGCATTACAGCAGCCGCCTTTACTTTCCATGACTCTACATGGTACTCATTTAAGGTTTGGTCAGTCGGAGAGCCAAGGTCATTTCCTGAAACGTCTGGCTCCGTCAGGATCTTCCGATCCGCAGGCAGGCATCTAGCCACTACACCACGGTAGTTCTATGTGAAACGTGGCTACAGGTAAAAAAGATTGTCAGGTGAATGTACACTATGTCGCATTGTCGTTAGATACATGTCAGATCAGAAATGAACACTAATGTGGCATTGTCACGAGACACATGTCAGGTCAGAAATGTACACTAATGTGGCATTGTCACAAGACACATGTCAGGTCAGAAATGTACACTAATGTGGTATTGTCACGAGACACATATCAGGTCAGAAATGTACACTAATGTGGTATTGTCACGAGACACATGTCAGGTCAGAAATGTACACTAATGTGGTATTGTCACGAGACACATGTCAGGTCAGAAATGTACACTAATGTGGCATTGTCACGAGACACATGTCAGGTCAGAAATGTACACTAATGTGGCGTTGTCACGAGACACATGTCAGGTCAGAAATGTACACTAATGTGACATTGTCATGAGACACATGTCAGGTCAGAAGTGAAGAAGTTCGAATGGGAAGGTCAAGTGATTTTGAACTTTTCATAATTCGTTTTACTGCCTCCCCAACAAGCATGTCGTTTAACTAATTGGGAATTTCCTTGGAAGTCGGAGTGCATCTGCCTGAGAGGCAAAGAACCAACAGAGTGCATACAGATGTGCACCCAACACTCAGGTTCTGGAAGAAGTCTCAAGTACAGAGATGGATGAATAACTACACCTTTACAGCGTAGTTTACAGCAGGGGAACGCGAATTAAGAAGGAGATTCCACCTGATAATTATTAACCCTTTCAGTCCCAGGGGGTTTAGCATCAGAAACCTAAGGGATGTAAAGTCAGAGCATCTTGCGTTCCCTGGGCTTCTAGGTAGGAACCTATGAACATATGACGCGCTCCTTGGGACTGAAAGAGTTAAGGCTGTACTAGTCAAAAATATTATTATCATCATACAAACTATGTGAGAGACCCTGGTATATCACAGCAAGGCTCCGTCCCCAAGGACTGTGTACTCAAAAGAACAGGAATACCAGCTATGTACTTCCAAATGAAACAAATACACCTGCGCCAATTGGGACCTGTCCCTTGCCTGAAGGATGGCTGCATTCCAGAGGATCTCCTGCGTGGTCAACTGGCAACAGGGAAAAGATCTGCAGGAAGGCTTCAGTTACGCTATAAGGACATATGCAAATGTGACCTAAAAGATGCCAACACTGACACAGACAATTTGGAGAAACCAGATGCAGAGTGACTTCTGTAGAGGCAGACAATAAAAGATGGACTGTCACACTCCTGCTCTGCCAAATGCAGAGCAAGTTATAGAGAGAGGAGATGTTTGAGAGAAAACTAGCCTCAATTTAATAGAGTATTAACATTCTATGTACACTTTGTAGCACAGACTGCCACTCCCACATATAACATGACAGTCATAGCAGATGCTGTTCCCCAAACCAGCACCACAGCTCCAACAGCAGATCACAATGAAGGTGACAGCTATTAAATCTAGCCACTCAGCGACAGAGTCCACAAATCTCCTGAGAATCACTTTATTTTCATACTGGGGACCCAAACACCTAGGGGACTGAACTATTACAGTTTCATCTAAAATTCTCGAGTTAGAGCCCTTAGCATTCCCTGGCTTTTTAGTCTTGGGCCACACATGTCTCGTCATTCCACTGGCTAGACATCAATGTGGCTGCTTCGGGATACATCAATTAAGTGATTTTGTATATTTGTGTGGTTTTGTTTGATTTAGGTATGTGCTGATAAAGGCTTTGAAGTGCCGCAACATTTACTTTTCATTTGCGTTTGTTATATAGTGAAGTTCACTAATCTACTTTTCTTTTGGTTTTATATCTTTCCACAATTTCAGCAGGGGTGATGCCCTTGTTCTGCAGAAAGAAGGCAGGAAAGAGATAATGCACATTTCCGTAGGGAAGAATTCTGCAAAACAAAAATATCTCATCTCACCTTTTCTGAAGTGCCAGGTGTACCTGAAGACAGTTTGACTTTTTCTGTATAGAAAGAAACAAAAAACTACAGTTACTGTTTAGAATTACAAATAAATCATCATCAAGTGCCTTGCCAGTTGGCGTAGGCGTTCACGCATCTCCTCAGATCTTGGTTTTTGGTGTTCTGGATCAATTCCAGTGATGATATTTCTCCATGCCACAGTCTTAAGCCATCCACCATAATTTCTCTTGGTCTGCATCTACCTCTTTCTACCAGTAATCTTTCCAGTCGTCACAATATTTTCTAGTGCTCCTTTTTCTCATCACTTTGTCTCCTTCTCACTGTTGTATATAATGTTCTACTTTCATTAGCCATTTCCAGACAATCAAATCAGTTATAATAATACTTCTTTTAAAAAAAAAAATCATTGCAGATGACACAGCATGTGAATGTTTAAAGAAATGTGCAAGCACACACAGTTTTAATAATGACATCTCTCAGTCCCTGCAGACTATGGAGATGTGCTACTGGCTTTGAGAACAGCATCTGCTGTGACTGCAAATTCCAATGCGGAAGTGACAGCCTCCGCTACAAAAGACACATACAAAAGTAGATGCTCCCTTGCTAGGAGGCTGATTGCACATGATTTCTTTCAAAATGCGACAAACCTTTTTTCACTTTTCATAGTAGTCGTTCTGCAGCTGATTTCTAAGTCTATGTGCCTATGTTGGTACAGATTCACGTTTGCATATGTCTTTATAATGCAGCTTTGGCTTTCCTGTAGGTCTATTCCCTGTTTCCAGTTCACCATACGGGAGATCCTTTGGAATACGACCAATTTCCATGCGGGAGACATGTCCCAGTCAACGCAGACGCCTTTGCTTTACTAAACTGTACACTGGTGGTATTTTTGCTCCTGTGAGTACACATTTGCTGGAAACAAGGTCTCGCTACGATATACCAAGGATGCACCTCATACTGCACATGTGGAAGGTATTCAGTCTCTTTTCTTAAGGGGTATATACAGTCCAGGAGTCACTACCATACAGCACTGTGCTCAAGACACAAAACTCATAAACTTTCATTCTTCTTCTTTCATTTGCTTGAAATAGATTATCTATATCTGCATCGTTGTCTCTAGTATGAACTTCACTGTCTTTTGTAATTCACTCAGTGACCCGTAAAGTTTGACTTGGATCGATGTTTCGCTTGGCCAAAAGTTTTGCCTTGATATGTTGTATTTGGGACAGTCTTGGAGGACATGATGTGTTGTATCAGGTGCCAGTCCACATGTGCACATGGCTGATTCACCGATTTTAAATTTTGTGTACATGTGGCTGTGAAGTCGACTTGTGTCCTATCCTAAGGTATAGAATAATAACTTGCTCTGGTCTGTCCATAAAATGGTAACCATCTTGTGTTAGTTTTGGTGGCTTTCTGATTGATTTGATTATTCTCTTCTTTTGTTGATAAGAGACTTTCATTCTGATATTATCAGTCAGCTTTTCATTTCACCAGACTCTCATAGTGAGGTTTAAAAACATTGCAGAGGCCTTTCCTATATGACTATCTCTGCATCTGGGGAATGATTGCCTGAGACAGATATAAATTTGTAATAAATCAATCAATCAAGTGCCGACTTCACAATGAGAGCTGGCTGCAACAGATCTCCAACACTCTCTACCTTTTGTTCTGACTTTGCACTCTTTTATTCTTTCCAGCTGTGTTGCTGCTTATCTCTCACTTACATGTCTTTAAATGTTACCCCCGGTGTGGGGGTTTTATAAGTGTTACGTCTTTAAATGTGGCTAAATTAGTTTACTTGTCTCTTTTTTATTTCTTTCAGCAGCTCCCATTCAAACCTATGATTTTCAGAGCAGAAAACCAAGCTATCAGCTCAATCACTTCGCTACGGAGATCATCAGTTTTGTTGTTGTGGTGAGGCCCAGCTTACTTTTTTCAAGTTGACAGGCAAAAGGGACATCTTGAAGATCATTTAAGAACCAGTGATGATACAAGACATGAAGTTAGATGAAATAACAAATGTAAAAATGTGTAAACATGAAATTCAGAGTGGATCTGGCAAGGAGGGAGGTATGGGAGGAAGAGAACTACGTGTGTATAATCGGTAAGCTACAGGAACATCCCAATACACACCCGCCCCCCCCCCCCTCCACCCACAGGTCTTCCAAACCCCTGCACCTCCCATGACAGGCAGTGAAACCCTTAAGACTCACAAACCTTTTATTGGCGGTTTATTAAAAAAGAAAATTTGAACCACGTTCAACCCTGCTCAAGACAGTTTCATTTCAGTTATAATTAAGGTCTGTTGTTACTTGCTCCAAGTTCATTGGTTTACATATTTTGTTGAATCAGTAGTTGAGGCTTATTGTCCCTAACTGTGTGTGATGTTGCCCTGTCTGAACCCTCTCTTTCAGTCCAGTCTTTTTGGTAGGGGTTCGGCCCTGATGTACATTTTCCTGAAAGCACTTCCCATGTCTTGGGTATGACTGTTATTTATGACTGGGTTGTTCTCCTTATATCCTAGGTGGTAATAGTTGGTATGGTGACCTGTCACCTGTCCTTGAAGTTCCTGTTATTTATTTCATTGTCCGTCTCTTTCTATTGTGGGTTGCTGAAATAGGTCGTCCAACATACTGAGGCTCTCTGTTGTCCTCTGAGTATCCCTGGCAAGTACCAAGGCTTTCACCAACACCGCTATGCACTGACTGATTCTTCTTTCTATGGTAGCTATATCTTTTGATTTCTTTCAATCAACTCTGATACAGATGACTGTTCATACCTTGTGATTTTGGTAGTTTATCCACAATCTTCTGTCTCATGTACTTTCAATCAACTCTGACATAGATGACTTTCTATGCCATGATGTCAGACTGTTCAGCATCTTCTCTCTCTGTCTTCTTCTGCCTTTTTTCCCCCTTCCAACTTTCTCACTCATTTATCTTTATATGTGTATATTAAATCTTCAAAACAGCAAAGACTTACGTGGAACTGGTGAGGCCACAATAATGTTCCCTGGTCTTAAATTAGGTAATGCCATATTGTATTTTGAGCTTGTCAAACTTTAATGAACACTGCCTCCAATGTGAGGGTAATTATAAATCCACTGTCAGTGGAAAACGCAAGTATGTGCTGAAAATCGGAAGCAAGGAAAAAAATTAGGGACAAAAAAAAGACCACATGAACAAGTTAATCAAGTTACCTAAATGCACTTCCGATAATTGGCCTCCCAGCCCAAATGTCTAGGTTTTAACTCCTTCAGTCACAAACGAGGCACCATGTGTGACTGCATTTATTCATATGCACCAGTCAAAATATGATTATGCGTGTACATTTTATGTTTAGACATGTCACAATAAATCACTCAACTGCACACCAGACTCCTACTAGGGTTGTGTATTTTGCCCCTGTGGATGTAGTATACCCATGATTTTGCTGTTGTCATGACTGTCTCATTTAGTCATCAGCTATGGCCTTCTAGGATTAAATGAGTTAAATGTGCGCTGAGGCGTATTTTAATTTTTAAATTCACTTTGACTACCAGATCAACCCAGCCTAAAATGGGTACCAGGTATTGTCCGTGGAAGTAAAGGTGGCCAGACATTACCCATCAAGTGCTCATTCAGCAATTTGAAAAAAAACAAAAGGACTCTTGACTTTTTTTAACCCAGTTACTGAACAGAACATCTCTGATTTCATCTAACACTTAGTTGAAATAATGTAGATACAAACAGTACATTGCACAATTTATTACCAGGCATATTTCACCGTACCTCAGTCAGATAGTAACACTGAGATATAATGAAGTACCAGACAAGTCCATAAGTGCTTGCTTCCCATGTTTAGTATTCCCTCAGCATACAGCAACTGATGATAGAAGCTCTGTGTTGGTTTACTATTCCTCTTTGGTTACACGTATAGTTTTCATGTTTGGCAACACCTATTTTGACATGAAGTTCTCGTAGTCTTTTCAATGTGACTAATTCTCTGAACCACTAAATATTCCTCCCCACAATGTTTTATGGAAAATACATCCAACAATTATGTTTACTGTTTTTATTTATTTATTTTGTGATTCTTTTATTCTAAAACCCGAAGTTACAGTAGATCTTACAGCTTTATCTTCCTTCTGTGTCTGTTGAGACCACTCCTTCACTATGATGGTTAGATTTTCCTCTCCATGGCCCGAGAAAAACTTCTTCACCTTCCTTTATTAAAAGGTGATTCAGCTTCCCCTTTCAATATCATTATATAATGTAATAGAATTTTCAGAATAGATGTCTTAGAAGAATACTAAATCTCCACTGGTCAGATTTCAGATCCAATACACAAATAAGAGACCAAGCAAGATAATGTACCCAGTTTTATAAGAAAGCGCCGCTGGAACTACATTATCCATGCATTCAGAATGGATAAGTTAAGCCTCTTCTATCAACTCCTCATATGGACACCAGAAGGGAAAAGAAAACGGAGAAGACCAAGAGAGACGCTGTGTAGAAACAACATCAGAGAAGGCTCAGCCACAGGCCTAATCAACATCCAAGAAATAAAACAGGTGAGCCGCCAGACACGGAAAGTTATGACCTCTGCCCTATGCACCGCCCTAGGCCCAAGAGGAAAGACTACCTAAGTAGAAACAACTTTTTTCAAAAAATATAAAGTTTAACCTTTAGGGTTACAACTGGGATGTTTAATGAAATTTAGGGTTAGAGTTAGACCTACAGTTAGGATTAGAATTATGTTAGGATTGGGTGGGAGGCTGCGTGGTGTCTGCCTCGAGTGCTAGAGGTTCTGGGTTTAATCCCCGGTAAAGGATGGGATTTGTTTCATGTGGACTTGGACTTCTAGTAATTCCCCCTGATCGCTGTGTAGTGAGACTGGATGCCAGTGTGCAGTGTTGCACACGTAAAAAAATCCCTTGGCAGCTAGAAATCGAAAAGAATAGCCTAACAGTGCTGCCAGGGCAAAATTTGGAGTTACAAATCTACCCAAAGTATTTTACGATCCTTGCCGGTGCTACAGAGCTTGTCCACTGTGCTGAGCTTCTTCAGACTTAGACTTGAGTTTGAAGAATAACGGAGCACTTATGGGTTTCTAACTGTGTGCCATGATGTTGGTCCGTTGTTCAAACTTCAGACTTATGGTTAGGATAAGAGTTAGTCAGTGAGACAGTCTGGGCTGATGAACTACAAAGATTCTAACCCTAACATAAAATGTAAAGTGGATGTGACAAGTTGAAGACCAAGAATCTCTAAGGTTATCTAATCTACCCAGTGTTCACAATTTCTTCTTTAGAAGAACAGTCACTCATGGGCGGAGGGAGGTAAAAGAGATACAGAAGTGCAATATGACACTGACACAAGCTACGTGACTGGCACAAAACAAGAAGATACATTTAACTTCTTCCAGAGGGGCTTTACTGCATACACAGTAGGACACACACAAAAGATTTTACATTTTAGACTACATGACATCTTGGCTCTCCTTTAAATTAACGGTCGCTAGCTGGAAGGCGACGGCCGCTTAGTCGGAGTTCACTCCCTTGGCTGCAGTGCAAATACAGAGTGGTAAAGAGGGAACGAAACAAATGATATTGTTACCTGTCATCCTAGGGTTAGGCTTAGGATTTGGGGTAGGGTTAGGGTGATACATCACGGAAACGACGGAAGCGTATCGCTCATTACGACATACAGATCCGCAGGTCTCACATCTACGGTCACTAAGTCGTGCGTCGGAAGAACGCGGTCGCTACTGTCAGTCGCAGCGTGTGGTCTAGCTCTAGCAGGCATGTCGACCTCAGTTTGTTTTTTGAAATCGTAACTTGTCCGCTCCGTATTTGCACTGCAGCCAAGGGAGTGAACTCTGACTAAGCGGCCGTCGCCTTCCAGCTAGCGACCGTTATTTAAAGGAGAGCCGACATCTTCAACCATTTACCACTGTTACTTTTACCTAATCTGGATGTATCCTTTGTTATTTCATGTGATGCCTCTGATGTGGGAGTTACCATCCTTACTGGTACAGGAATTGTGGCTCAGAACATCACATCATGTCTTGGTTGTGGGTTCTTCTTTTGTTTACTCTTTTTTTTTCATAAGACTATTCAGGAAAGTGGCGAGATTTTCATTATTTGGCTTGGCATCTAAAGTTTTCTAGTGAATGAGCTAATCAACACCCGAAGTAACAATTCTTAGTCGCCTCCTGCGACATACCATACAATACAATACATGGTAGCTTAGTCTTAGTCAACAATCCTTCATTTATTATTATTTTGCTTAACCAGTTGTGATCCGGACAACCATTGATAAAGTAGTGATAAACAGAGACGATACCTTAATTATAATAATTATTAATTATTATGAACTACAAAACATAACGTAACGCGATGTATTGCATTCTTGCTCACTCAAAATCACCACCTGTGAGTCACAGTGTGACAAAAACTGCACATTTCGACATCTACTATATAATATAGAAATGTTATACACCAGACTCAATACATGCCTGGTTATCATCAGTTGAGATGTTCTATCCCAAAAGACAAATCTTCTACCGCACGACAAGAAGCATCATCAGACATCGCTGGCCTGTCGCTGACAAAGACGACGTCTGCCTGCGCTCGGTCGGTGGCTCGGTGGCCACAATGAGGCAGGGCTGCCGAAGTTGGTATTTTTGTTTTCATTTGGAACCTTACCGAGCCACGTCCGACTTTAGCTATTTATAGTCCAAACAGCTTAACGTGAATTCCCGTTTTGTAAACCCTCGAGAGGCTGCTCTGTTTTCACAATTTTTATTGCGCAGATGTGTATACAAATTAAACTACAGATTCAATCATTTGTAACAAGTTTTATTTAATGAACTATAATTCTGAAGATAAATAAGCGAGCTATAAGTTTTTTTTTAAATGTAGCAGAGCATAGCTGTACTTAACTACTTTAAGTACTACTTCTGATGATTTGATGCTATTTGAAATGCTGCATAAATATTTTAAACGTTGGTGTTGCGTTGAAATTTAGAAAGTAACTTTATTTCTAATTAACCTAAAACAAAGAAAATCTCGAGGTTGACAGGAAAGGCAAAATATTCTAAGGGTGCTATGAGTTAGGGTTACAGTTAAAGTTACGCAGTTATGGTTGTGGTTAGTCATTATCTCTAAAGCGGTCAAGGCTGACAAAGATTATAACCCTAACCCAAACCCCTAGAATATTAGACTATTATATACGCACCACACACACACACACACACACATATATATATATATATATATATATATATAATATATATATATAGGTTTATAATATATACAAGGTATATATAGTGTGTATATTGTATATACCAATATTTATAGTATATATATTTATATATTGGTATATACTATATATACGATGGTTTAACGGAGTTTTAATTGAAAATATCGTACCTTTTTGTGTGTTTTGTTTATCTTTAACATTTTGAACTGTTCTCCAAAAAATTTCGACAGCTCTGCAATGAGATTCTGATGAACCAATATTTTTGATCGGTCATGATTCTGGGACCCAGACACTCTACTTTTTGTGTCAGGGGAAATTAATCGATTAGTTTGTTCCCCGTGTGGGTTCCGGGGCCCAATTGTGGGGAAAACAAGAATAGACCCACTGCCTACCCAAAAGCATGTCGTAAAAGTCGACTAATTGGGAGCTTCCTTCGAAGTCGGAGTGCATCTGTCTGAGAGGCAAGGAACCAACTGCATTCAAGTGAATCAGATCTGTAAAACTGATGCACACGCAACACTCAGGTTCTGGAGCAGGACTGCAGTCCAGGACTGGACGAACAATCAGAACTTTCCACCGGAGTGTTCAGCTGGTGAACGCGAAGAAGAAGAAGAAGAAGAAGAAGAAGAAGAAGAAGAAGAAGAAGAAGAAGAAGAAGAAGAAGAAGAAGAAGAAGAAGAAGAAGAAGAAGAAGAAGAAAAAGAAAAAGAAGAAGAAAAGAAGAAGAAGAAGATTAGTTTGTTCTCGCTGGTTGCTAAATCAAGGATTGCCATACGATTCTGAGAGTTAAAAATCCCAGCCCAGAGGCATAGGTGTAAATTCGAGACACCAAAGGACCGGAGAAACGCAAGAACAGCATCCAAGTAAGAAAATATTGGGTGACACAACCCCACCCTCCCCCCCCCCCCACCGGCCCTCATCGCCACCTTACACATTTTATAATCTAATAGAGCCAGGTCCTTGTGCCCCCCTCCCTCCCCACCCAAATGAACATTAGTGTCCCACCCCAAAAATTGTGTGAGTGGGCTATGATGTCCCTTTATCCGTGTATAGAAATTACTTTTTTAATGTACAGTATTTGTTTACACACTCCATATTATTTGAAGTGTAACATTACATTTTTTGCACATTTTATTATTGTTACTAACTAGTTGTACCCAGTTGTGGCCATGAATGGTAAACTGGAAAAGAAAGAAAATAGAAAGCGCACCTGTCTAATATGGTTAAAATCAGTCAATGCACAGCTACAGGGATAGTCTGATATGCCAACTTTAGAACACGAAACATATAAGTGAATGTCGATATTAGTGGTTGAATAAAGTGCACTGTTAGAGAGAGAGAGAGAGAGAGAGAGAGAGAGAGAGAGAGAGAGAGAGAGAGAGAAAAAAGATTATTTGTATGTCGAGGCTAAAGCATCTGTTGTGCTTAAACAGGTAAAAGTAAAGCTGACTGCTATACCTCTAACTGACCAACAAACTGACACCCCCCCCCCCCCCCCCCAAATGAAAATAGCCAAGGAAGAGGTATTAAAATATAAATATGTAAGAAATTAGAACTGTACAATAAAGTTATAAGCTTTCTGAGCTAACAGTGTCTGTCATAACCCCTCCCCCCCCCTTTTCCGTCCCCAATCATATCTCCCTCTCATAATGATTTAACAGTTTTCACGTGGCGATATTGTTAAAATAAAAATAGTTAAGAAATGAGAACATTAAAAAATATTTTAAGCTCTCTCAGTTAACAGTATCTGGCATCAATCCCCCTCCCCGCAATCACCCACCCCCCCCCCCCCTCTGAACAATCATATCATCCTCTACGAAGTATGGGAAAGTCAGTGCCTGACGAAAATATTGTTGTTAAATAGAGCTTGGCATCAGTGTCCACCCAGACAAAAATGGGTAGCATTAATCTGTACTGAGAAGTAAATGTAGCAAGTGTAACAGCTACCACATCACCCGAGTACCAGTATTACTGCTACCACCACCACCGTCACAACAACAACAATAACACTGTCTGTACAGGTCGTTGTAGCCAGAGGAGTTGGAGCCGCATGCTGTCGCCACGGACTGTTTGGTTTAAGCGTGTCCCCGACATAAAACTCCATCACCGAACCTACTTACAAATAGCGAAAATAAAAACCCGCACTCGTCATCTTTCCCTCTCCGAAGGGACGATGTTTAATTAACCTTGGCATTCGTGTCGACCCAAACCAAACGGGGCCGTAAGCCTGCTTAGTTAACAGTTTATGTCATCAACGAATAGTTTTTGATTGAGTGATGCGTCGGGAGGAGGCTAATCTGAACTGTACTGAAATCAGATGTCTTTGGGCGTAAGGCGCAGATGTCGCAACTTAGCTGTAAACCCCAACACAGCGTGCCAATCGCCCCTTTAGGGCAAAAAGAAAAATTAGCACCCAGCGAGGAATCGAACACACCGGTCATCCGTGTGAAGGGCGGAATACTTACAACTATACTACCGAAGACTGAAGACTTTAGGTCAGATATCGCAGCCTAGCTGTAAACCACAATACAACGTGCCAACCGCCCTCTCAAGGGCGAACGAATATTACCCCTGATATGAACATTGAGCATCACGTCGCCGCTTGTGCAGGCTAGCTGTAAACCCCAAAATCGAACGGGGAAAAAAACGTAGATATTGCAGCCAACCTATAAACCACAACAAAACGTGGCAGCCACCCAGTTACGTGCCCCCCCCCCCCAATAATATCCCCCAGCGGGGAATCGAACCCCTATCACCCGTGTACAAGGCGAAATGCTTACAACTAATGACGCTACTAAATACTCAAGCATTTAGTAGAAATGAAAGTATATAATAATAATGTGAAGTTCGGTGTTACACAGTCAAAGAAGGCCAATCGACTAAAAACAAATCCGGGCCTACAACGAAAAAACTAATGAAATGATCGTTGCTGGAGCTACGTCGTTCGTGGTTTGCTCAAAACTCATACATACAAACACGCTTTGAGTCAGAGGCAACGTTGTGTGAAAATCTGAAAGCGATCGGTAAAGAAATGTCGGAGATTTATCCTAGGGGAAAAGGCATCTATTGGCAGCCATGCTCAGCAGTCGAAGGCGGCTAATCAACTAAATACAAATCCGGGCGGGCAACAAAACAAATAAGGATTTGACCGTTGCTGGAGCTACGTCGTTCATGGTTTGTGTGATTTTATGACAAAAAATCACACATTGAGTCAGAGGCAACGTTGTGTGAAAATTTGATAGCTATCGGTTCAGTAGTTTCCGAGTTTAGAGTTAACAAACTCAGAAAATTAACATTTTTATTAATATAGAAGATATTATTATTTTGCTGAATGACAAATACATTTAAAAAAAAAAGCTATTACTTGTAAAGAACATTTATATGCATTGTTACAAGGGGTATTTTTAGTCCTTTTACAAAATTATTGAGGTGGGGAGGGGGGGGGGGTTGGGGGAGCCTCCTTACAATGTTTTGCTGGGGGGGAGGGGGGTGGTTCGGGAATGTTCGGGACTTAAACCTTCAGGTTTTGGCGCCTGTGTGAACAACTTCCCACTTTTCCCCGATCATCCCAGACAGTCTTTCTAACCCCAAACCATGCATTGTTATTTCTAACCAGAAAATAAATTGCCTCTTTCGTCATACCACGAAGCTCTGGCTCACTGCTATTCTAAATTCTATCTGAAGTCATTTCAAGTCACGCGAAGCCACTGGACTGATCCTAGCAGCAATGGACCCCCCTTTAAAGGTTAGTTGTGTATCCTTTACAGGACGTTGCAGAACCAACCCCAGACTGTTGTGTGGTTTCACTAGGCAAATTTACGTCCAGTAGTTTGCCATTGCCCTCTGTACGGTCGGCTCACTGATACCACTGTCGAAACCAACGCAAGGCGTATGGCCCGCAGCTGGGATCGAACCCGGTAGGAACCCCTTTACGTTATCCATTTGGACCTGGGTGTATGCTTTCTCAGACTGTTATTCTTTCGTATCTTGATATTATCCATGAGTTATTTTCTTTTAATTCACCCTTTCTCGTGGAATCCGAGATTTCGTGGAGATTTCCCCGGAAAGTCCAATATTAAGGGGGGGGGGGGCAAAGGCGTTAGTCGGTCTTCATTTCACACCTCAAGATTCATATACTGTTGGACTTTCCCTGGAACTACTCACAAATTTCGGAGCCCATGAGATGGGGTGAACTAAAAGAAAAGTATCTATCCATTTGTATCATTGTCTGCCCCAGAAAGAATGTCTTTTAGGGTCCCCTTTCTCGTTTTATTCAGTCTCTTAGGTGCTTTCTTATTTGACTGACTGTGATTTTATGAAGTACGACCTATTCTGTACACGTCTCCAGGGGCTTGTAAGAATGTTTGCGTGTCCTTTACATGACATTGCAAAACCAACCACATCAATATTTTATTTTGTTTTGTTGAATAATTGGGATTCATTAGACAATTTTATATTTTGTAACTTCTCACCAAACGGGTCGGCTCTCTATACCCCTGTCGAAACCAACACAAGGCGGTCTGTTGCCAAATCGCCCGCAGTTGGGATCCAACTCAGCACTACAGAATCACGATGCGGTCGACCAGACTCATAAAGAACCTTTCCCACCCCTTCAGGCTATTGAGCGTATAGGGCTTCTTCTCTTCCACCTTGTACCTCATCGAAGTGTCGGGGGGAGATGTCATGTTCGTTGATGAGCTCTGTCAAGAGCACTATTAAGACTGGTGTTCATTTCTGTAAGGCTGTTCTTAATGCCATCACTCCATATTTTCCGAGGTCTTCCACTCGCTCTATACCCGTTGTAACGTTTTAGTGTGGCTCGCAGTGGCAGATAGTACCAGGGCATTCTTGTTAGGTGTCCAAACCACTTCATTTGTTGTTCTTTGATGCCCTGTAAGACTGGCTTTATTCCTAGCATTCGTCTGATTTCATGATTTCGTATTCTGTATTTCCTGGAAACTCCTGCAGCTCTTCTAAGACATTTCATCTCTGTTGTCACAATTTGACGTTCATTGGGGGATGTAAGTGTCCACGTTTGCATTGATAGCATAGTGTTGGCCAAAAAATAGTTCTGATAAGATTCACTTTAGTACTCCGAGGTATCTGCTTGTGTGTCAACAGGGGAGATAGTTGCCCCATTACTTGATTAGCTTTGGCACATCTGGAGCTAATTTCTCTGTCCAGTTTGTATAGGGCTAGACCTATATTTTATAGACCTATCAGTTGGTGATGTGGTCAACATGACACCGGTCGCCTTTACTTCTTAGAAATCCACCTAGCACTCTTTTAGTCCCAGGGGGTTTCGCATCAGACTCCCAAAGGATAGTATTGAGAGATGTCAAATTGACGCAACTTGCTTTCATTGGGCTTCTAGGTAGGCACCTATGAACTTATCATGCGTTCATTGGGACTGCTTCTAGGTCAACATAAGACCGGCTCCAGCTTAGAGCTTTCGTTATTCTGAAATAAACCTGGCTTCGCCAAGAACTAAACCCACGACCTAAAGAGAGGGAGAAGAATTCTCAACAATCAAAGACTGAACATGAGATAACATTACCGCATGAAAGTGGGCACATGGGTCAGAGTCCATGAACCTATGACCTTTGACCACAAGATCGCACAACATGGCAGCACAAGCAGACGACGACCGCCTCTACCTCGGTTTTGATTTAAGCACGCAGCAGGTTGGTTCCGCCGGCAATTTAATGATACATGTATTTAATTAGCTAGAAGAGATACAATAGATTTTTTTTTTTTTAAATATGGTGTATAGGTGCTGATGATAAGTTTGGGCGAAGAGAGGAGTGGGCCAAGGTGTCCGAGCAAGTTTCAGACTTGTAAATGTAGGGTTCTTATCACTTGAAGTCGTGAGTGCAGGGACCTGCCGCCATCTAGTGCTGCAGAATCAGAAGTTCAATGAAAGATTCATGACAGTTCCCGCCCAAGTGATGTGATTATCTATATAGATGGCTCTGTGTTGAGAGGCAGACGAAGTGCATGAGGATGATGAGGCTAAGGCGAATGGATGTCGCTGGTGCCGCACACTGCAAAGTCTGGCGTGTGATATCACTTTACAACGTCTAGTTTGAGAATTGACGTGGAGGCAGTCACTGCTGCCTTCCGCTGGTTTGAGAAGAAGCTGTGCAGATATGTCGTAATTGCAACTGACTCACAGAGTGTGTTGAGAAAGGTGGGTACAGGCATGCTCTGTCACAGAGTCTGTGCAGAGTGGCAAACGATCAGTTACTGGTATATTAATATTTTAGGCTCTCCTTTGAATCAACCCCCAAAATGGCGGCATGCCACATTTTGGCCATAAAATATCCGAACGACGGTGTTCGCGTATATCTAAAATACGGGCTGTCTGCCAAGGAACAAATCGCGGCAAAACTAGGATTACTTGACAATCAATATCAACATTGCACACGGTAGTAGTAGCAGACGATAAATACCGACCGTTGACAGTTTCGAGCGTTTCTGCAGACGATACTAGCAGATGATATTAGCGACCGTTGACCACTTTCGAGACATTACAGACAATGAAAGCCGATTAGCAATACTGTGTTCTTCCGATTGGAGGATTTAGCAGCGCCAAACGCGATAAAACTCATCACAGAGCGTATCCCCCGCACCGCTACGCGCGGCGTGGATGGGAGGGCTAAACTAGGTTCCTGGGACTCACGAGTAAAGTAATTGGAGGAAGTTGCAGGAGATGCGGTAGCTGCCGCTTGTGAGTCCCAGCCATCTAGTTTAGTCCCCATCCACGCCGCGCGTAGCGGCGCGGGGGATACGCTCGGCGGTGAGGCACACTCGCAGAAGCAGGTCGACAAGTAACGTATCGCCGAGACCCTGTCAGAGCATTTGTTTCGTTATCCGGAGCCGGCACATATATTTTAAATAGAACTGACCCGCATTCGGATATTTTTTGATATTTTATGGCAAGAAATTGGCCAATATAGCTCTCTTTCGAACGCCATCATATTAAAGCCGCCATTTTGGGGGTTGATTCAAATGAGAGCCGAATTTTAACTCTTCACTTGCTGCTGAAGATGGTGATGGAGCGCTTATGGGGGTGTCCCGAGTGCTGGGATGTAGATTCTTAATTCAACATTCAGCAACATTCAACATTTGTACTGGACAAGGGAGACATTCTAAAGACCATATAAGAACAAACACTGATAGCAGGCATGAGGTTAGATGCAACAACATGTGTAAGACTGTGTGAATGAGGCATTAAGTATGGACTGGGCAAGGAGGGGTCATGAGAGGGAGAACAAAACCGAGTTTTTAATTAGTGTGCTGTGGGAACAATTAGCATCTACACCTTAACCCTTTGGAGACGGAGCCTTTTTAGAGTTTCGGTGCCAAGAAGACGGAGCCTTCAGGAGGGGATTCTCATAGTCATAGCTTATTCACCAAAAATTATAACAAATAAAGCCTCTAATTAACATATACAAAACTATATATATTCGTGTAAGAAATTGAATAAATGAATGAACAGAATATTTATGAAACAAACTGAAATCTCATCATTTATTCAAATTAACTATTCTGATTTGCATAATTTATGCAAGCAGTTTTTTAAAACTTGGGAACAAACATAACTAACCTGAAAAATTTAGGTGAATTCTTTCATGGATGAAGTTTGAATAATTCTAACACCTATATTTTGTGATGTAAGGCCCGTGGAGGCCCTTCAGACACGTCTGGCACATGGTTCTACTCATTTTCCTGCCTCCAGCTATGTTTCGGTTGCTGTGATGCAACAGTACTTATTTCCCATTTTTGGACACGGGTAACCCCAGAAAAAAATTGATGTAAAATTACAGAACACATCAGACTTTCTCAAAAAGCATCAGTGAACAGCCCACATGTGCAAGAAATGCGAGAAGCAGTCTGACTGGCTGGTACGAAAACCTGCCAGCCAATATCAAGGCTTTTATTATATGGGGCCGACCGATCGGCCGTGTCGCCCTTTTGGCTACTTCATGTTGTGTCAATATTTCAGCCGCGTTGTCTCCAAAGGGTTACAACATTTTCTGCGTGAGACGGAGTTCTTTTTGGTATGCCAGGTGTGCTATGATGTCGATTATTAAGTCGGTAAATCAGTAAATCATTTGTTTCACTTTAATTTTATATATATATATTTTTTTTTTTCATTTTCAGCTGAAAGTGATAGCGGTTTCAGACACATTGGAGGTTGTCTACGATGGACACGTCCAGTTTGATGCCGACCTCCCAGAGTTTAAGTACGTTGTTCGCTGTTTGTTATTTATAGCTTATATTAAATTTACTTTTAGGGGTCTCTGTGGCAAAATGGTCAATCTGTTTGCCTTGCTCTCTGGTCATAGGTTCATTTCACAGCTGTACCATTCATTTCACAAGTGCAGTTTTTACAGAGATCCCTGGAGCTGTGAAGTTTCTGCTTTGTGGCTCTTGGCAGGTGGCCAGCCTTCCTGCGGAGAGACTAAGCCAGATGAGATAGTTAAGTTTAAGTTTAAACTAAGGATCAACATCAGGGCATAAGTGGTTATCCATAAGTGCTCTTTTTTACTTCTAACTCAAGCCTGACTCCGAAGAATCTCAGCACGGTGCATGAACTCCGTAGCACTGCGAGGATTCTGAAATATTTTGGGGAGATTTTTAACTCAAAATTGTTGTCTGGGCAACACCGTTAGGCATTTCTATTTGATTTCCAACTGCCAAGGGATTTTTCATGTGTGTAACAATGCACAAGAGCATCCGATCTGACTACCCATAGACCCGGGAAAATTACTAAAAGTCCACATGAAAAAATCCCAGCCTTCCCCGGGGCCTCAACCCTGGACCTCCAGCACTATAGTATAAAACCCAGTACAATGAAGTTGATCTTTAAACTTTTTAATAGTTGTAATTTAAATCACTTTTGTAATCTGTTTGTTGACTTGTGGGGCTCAAAGTCAGCCTGAAACAATAACCTTCGAATTGCTATTACCGAGTCTCTGTATGAGTTCTGAGGCTCCATTGTTTTTTTGGGGAAAAAAAACTGCCCCCCCCCCCCCCCCCCCCCCCCCCCCCCCCCCCCCCCCCCCCCCCCCCCCCCCCCCCCCCCCCCCCCCGAAAGCAAGTCATAAACGACGACTAATGAGGGGTGTTTTCCTATAAAGTCGGAGTGCATCTGCCTGAGAGATGAGTAATCAACAGTCTGTATACAAATAAGCCAGATTTTTTCAAATGGATATACATGCAAAACTCAAGTTCTGGAACAATACAAAAGTACAGAAGTGGATGAACAACCAGAACTTTCCACTAAGAATCCAATAAGTAGTGAAACCAGGGGTGACCTCTGTCAAGCTAATGCCAAGAAATGAATCCACTGACCTGTGACTAAACAGCTTTACAAAAGGGGGAAGAGAAACAAAATGCAAAAAAAAAAAAAAGACAGACAGATCGACGGAACCTTTCTTGGCATAAACTACCCAACAGTAACAAAGGGCCAGCTTTTTGCTAAGAAGAAGAGACTATTACTAAGTGTAACTCAAAATTTACTGCTCCAAGTAAAGATTTGAAAAAGTGAATAGTGAAGCTATATATTGTTAATTTTTGAGATTATCTTCATCGCATATGACCATAAGTGCTTCAATCTCCTCCTGAATATGTCTTCAAGTATTTTTAGGCTAACAGTTCCCATTCTGTTCTGGCTGATGTAACGGTGGGTGGCTTCCGCATGATTTTTATGTCTCGCAGCTTCAATTGGTACACCCAAGGTATGCAGTCTATTCAGTGAAAAATCATTTTCCACGAAACTGAAAGCCTCACAGCGTTTAGTCTCTCATATGGCATTGATGATGTCTTTCCTGTCCATAGAGGGCCCATTCTTGATAGTCGCACTCTCTCATTACTTTCACACCAGCATACCCTGGGGAAAAAATTAAGGTGATTTTGTGAAACGCTTCGTGCCAAATCAGATAGAGCCACTGTTTCAGTATGTACCCCACCTTGATCTTCTGTAGCATGCTCTATAATTGGTTTGGAATTGTACTGTACAGAACACAGGGAGGTGTCCACATTCATCCTGACCATGTGACCATCACAACTCCCACAAGAATGTGGGTCAAGGCCTTAGAGCTTCTGCTAGACCGCATGAAGGCGGAACAGTTTCCCTTTCACAGGGTCAGGGCATTGTCTGGAGCTGGCCAGGTAGGCTGTTGCTGTAGTTACATTTTTGTTGTGATTTCAGATGCATGTGCATGTGTGAGTGGTGTGGGAGGTTGGTTTGGTGGATTATTACTTGTCCACTGTTTTGTCTTATATATGGAACAAAAGTTAAATACTTGGGAAAACAAACGCATGAGGCAAATAATGCACATGAAAACTGGGTGAATTCAAGAGAGGTGAAGACATAAGAGAAATGTCTGGGCAACCACTAGTAACTATAGCTGTAAGTTAAAAAAGATGATGTTGCTATATTGGACACATCCTGGGAAGAAACCAACAGAGAATCACCAGACAGGCTCTGATATAGGAGATAAAGGGATTAAGGAAGCAAGGACACTCAAAGGAAACCCTAAAATGAATATTGATGAGAGAGGCCAAAGGTGCTGGGCTGGATTCCATACATGGTATTGAACTAATCACACAGGAAAGAATATTATGAAGGAATAGATTATTGTGAACCCTATGTGACATATAATGACACAACAGGACGATGATGATTTTGTCTTAGTTAGTCATGACACAACAGGACAATGATGATTTTGTCTCAGTTAGTCATGACACAACAGGACAATGATGATTTTGTCTCAGTTAGTCATGACACAACAGGACAATGATGATTTTGTCTCAGTTAGTCATGACACAACAGGACGATGATGATTTTGTCTCAGTTAGTCATGACACAACAGGACAATGATGATTTTGTCTCAGTTAGTCATGACACAACAGGACGATGATGATTTTGTCTCAGTTAGTCATGACACAACAGGACGATGATGATTTTGTCTCAGTTAGTCATGACACAACAGGACGATGATGATTTTGTCTCAGTTAGTCATGACACAACAGGACGATGATGATTTTGTCTCAGTTAGTCATGACACAACAGGACGATGATGATTTTGTCTCAGTTAGTCATGACACAACAGGACGATGATGATTTTGTCTCAGTTAGTCATGACACAACAGGACGATGATGATTTTGTCTCAGTTAGTCATGACACAACAGGACAATGATGATTTTGTCTCAGTTAGTCATGACACAACAGGACAATGATGATTTTGTCTCAGTTAGTCATGACACAACAGGACAATGATGATTTTGTCTCAGTTAGTCATGACACAACAGGACGATGATGATTTTGTCTCAGTTAGTCATGACACAACAGGACGATGATGATTTTGTCTCAGTTAGTCATGACACAACAGGACGATGATGATTTTGTCTCAGTTAGTCATGACACAACAGGACGATGATGATTTTGTCTCAGTTAGTCATGACACAACAGGACGATGATGATTTTGTCTCAGTTAGTCATGACACAACAGGACGATGATGATTTTGTCTCAGTTAGTCATGACACAACAGGACGATGATGATTTTGTCTCAGTTAGTCATGACACAACAGGACGATGATGATTTTGTCTCAGTTAGTCATGACACAACAGGACGATGATGATTTTGTCTCAGTTAGTCATGACACAACAGGACGATGATGATTTTGTCTCAGTTAGTCATGACACAACAGGACGATGATGATTTTGTCTCAGTTAGTCATGACACAACAGAACGATGATGATTTTGTCTCAGTTAGTCATGACACAACAGGACAATGATGATTTTGTCTCAGTTAGTCATGACACAACAGGACGATGATGATTTTTGTCTCAGTTAGTCATGACACAACAGGACGATGATGATTTTGTCTCAGTTAGTCATGACACAACAGGACGATGATGATTTTGTCTCAGTTAGTCATGACACAACACAGGACGATGATGATTTGTCTCAGTTAGTCATGACACAACAGGACGATGATGATTTTGTCTCAGTTAGTCATGACACAACAGGACGATGATGATTTTGTCTCAGTTAGTCATGACACAACAGGACGATGATGATTTTGTCTCAGTTAGTCATGACACAACAGGACGATGATGATTTTGTCTCAGTTAGTCATGACACAACAGGACGATGATGATTTTGTCTCAGTCATGACACAACAGGACGATGATGATTTTGTCTCAGTTAGTCATGACACAACAGGACGATGATGATTTTGTCTCAGTTAGTCATGACACAACAGGACGATGATGATTTTGTCTCAGTTAGTCATGACACAACAGGACAATGATGATTTTGTCTCAGTTAGTCATGACACAACAGGACAATGATGATTTTGTCTCAGTTAGTCATGACACAACAGGACGATGATGATTTTGTCTCAGTTAGTCATGACACAACAGGACGATGATGATTTTGTCTCAGTTAGTCATGACACAACAGGACGATGATGATTTTGTCTCAGTTAGTCGTGACACAACAGGACGATGATGATTTTGACTCAGTTAGTCGTGACACAACAGGACGATGATGATTTTGTCTCAGTTAGTCGTGACACAACAGGACGATGATGATTTTGTCTCAGTTAGTCATGACACAACAGGACGATGATGATTTTGTCTCAGTTAGTCATGACACAACAGGACGATGATGATTTTGTCTCAGTTAGTCATGACACAACAGGATGATGATGATTTTGTCTCAGTTAGTCATGACACAACAGGACAATGATGATTTTGTCTCAGTTAGTCATGACACAACAGGACGATGATGATTTTGTCTCAGTTAGTCATGACACAACAGTTAGATGATGATTTTGTCTCAGTTAGTCATGACACAACAGTTAGATGATGATTTTGTCTCAGTTAGTCATGACACAACAGGACGATGATGATTTTGTCTCAGTTAGTCATGACACAACAGGACGATGATGATTTGTCTCAGTTAGTCATGACACAACAGGACGATGATGATTTTATCTCAGTTAGTCATGACACAACAGGACGATGATGATTTTGTCTCAGTTAGTCATGACACAACAGGACGATGATGATTTTGTCTCAGTTAGTCATGACACAACAGGACGATGATGATTTTGTCTCAGTTAGTCATGACACAACAGGACGATGATGATTTTGTCTCAGTTAGTCATGACACAACAGGACGATGATGATTTTGTCTCAGTTAGTCATGACACAACAGGACGATGATGATTTTGTCTCAGTTAGTCATGACACAACAGGACGATGATGATTTTGTCTCAGTTAGTCATGACACAACAGGACGATGATGATTTTGTCTCAGTTAGTCATGACACAACAGGACGATGATGATTTTGTCTCAGTTAGTCATGACACAACAGGACGATGATGATTTTGTCTCAGTTAGTCATGACACAACAGGACGATGATGATTTTGTCTCAGTTAGTCATGACACAACAGGACGATGATGATTTTGTCTCAGTTAGTCATGACACAACAGGACGATGATGATTTTGTCTCAGTTAGTCATGACACAACAGGATGATGATGATTTTGTCTCAGTTAGTCATGACACAACAGGACGATGATGATTTTGTCTCAGTTAGTCATGACACAACAGGACGATGATGATTTTGTCTCAGTTAGTCATGACACAACAGGACAATGATGATTTGTCTCAGTTAGTCATGACACAACAGGACGATGATGATTTTGTCTCAGTTAGTCATGACACAACAGGACGATGATGATTTTGTCTCAGTTAGTCATGACACAACAGGACGATGATGATTTTGTCTCAGTTAGTCATGACACAACAGGACGATGATGATTTTGTCTCAGTTAGTCATGACACAACAGGACGATGATGATTTTGTCTCAGTTAGTCATGACACAACAGGACGATGATGATTTTGTCTCAGTTAGTCATGACACAACAGGACAATGATGATTTTGTCTCAGTTAGTCATGACACAACAGGACAATGATGATTTTGTCTCAGTTAGTCATGACACAACAGGACAATGATGATTTTGTCTCAGTTAGTCATGACACAACAGGACGATGATGATTTTGTCTCAGTTAGTCATGACACAACAGGACGATGATGATTTTGTCTCAGTTAGTCATGACACAACAGGACGATGATGATTTTGTCTCAGTTAGTCATGACACAACAGGACGATGATGATTTTGACTCAGTTAGTCGTGACACAACAGGACGATGATGATTTTGTCTCAGTTAGTCGTGACACAACAGGACGATGATGATTTTGTCTCAGTTAGTCATGACACAACAGGACGATGATGATTTTGTCTCAGTTAGTCATGACACAACAGGACGATGATGATTTTGTCTCAGTTAGTCATGACACAACAGGACGATGATGATTTTGTCTCAGTTAGTCATGACACAACAGGACGATGATGATTTTGTCTCAGTTAGTCATGACACAACAGGATGATGATGATTTTGTCTCAGTTAGTCATGACACAACAGGACAATGATGATTTTGTCTCAGTTAGTCATGACACAACAGGACGATGATGATTTTGTCTCAGTTAGTCATGACACAACAGTTAGATGATGATTTTGTCTCAGTTAGTCATGACACAACAGGACGATGATGATTTTGTCTCAGTTAGTCATGACACAACAGGACGATGATGATTTTGTCTCAGTTAGTCATGACACAACAGGACGATGATGATTTTGTCTCAGTTAGTCATGACACAACAGGACGATGATGATTTTGTCTCAGTTAGTCATGACACAACAGGACGATGATGATTTTGTCTCAGTTAGTCATGACACAACAGGACGATGATGATTTTGTCTCAGTTAGTCATGACACAACAGGACGATGATGATTTTGTCTCAGTTAGTCATGACACAACAGGACAATGATGATTAGTCATGACACAACTAATTGTGTTAGTTATTGCTCTACCTCTGTCTCAAGCAAATATTCAATCAGTTAGGTGCCATCTTCACAGTGAGAGTTTACTGGAAAGGATCTTCAACTCTCTGTCTCATTCTGTTTATATACTTTCCCACTTGCATATATCACTGTCTGCTTCTTACTCTCCCATCCTTAACTTTTGTTTCCCATGGATTTTTTAAGAGCTTGACTACTACTCACTCTCTTCACCTTAATTTTTCCTTCCCATGGTTTTTTTTTTTTTAAAATAAGAGCATGGTCACTCACAACAAACCAGAAAAGAAAATTAGTAACCATGGAAAGGAGATGTCTGAGAAGGTATGTGGCAGTGACCAGAAGAGATAAAGTCAGGAATGAGGTCATAAGAGAAAAGATCGGCACAGAACTAATTGTAAATTACATACAAAGGACAGCAAGCAATGGTTTGCATACTTAGAGAGCATACCTTATGATGCCTTACAATACAAGGCATACACTAAAGGATAAGAAGGATGTAGAGCCAGAGGTAGACCAAGAACAAGATGGGGCGATAACATCAGAGAAACTCTACAACAGCACGATATGTCTATGGTCCAGGCGGACAGAAGTAGAACCTTATATCTTCCTCAACACCTGAAGTGGTAAAACAGGAAGTGAAGAAAAAGAAGTTCCCGGGGGAATGTCCATATAATTCCTCACCACCCTGTTCATGTTTATTAATATTCCCCCTAACCCATTCTCCGGAAATGTAGCTAAATAAATTGTGGAATAATTTCTTAGTCACCTCTGTAATATAGTTAATTCGTTAAGGTATTTTTGTTGTTGTTGCCAAGAAATGTTTACAGGTTTCATTCCTTTTTTTTTTTTAAACATTCGTGAGGTGAAAGGGTTAAAGAGCTATTTCATTACTTTTACTGAATTTGTAATGTGCTATGTGTGTAAATAAGTAAAAGTAAAGGACCCTTTCCACACATTCAGGCATATAGGGCTAGACTATATTTTATAGAATGATTAGCATTTGATGGGTGATGTGGTCAGCATCATACTGGCTGTCTTTACTTCCCAGGACTCCGCCATAACATGTAAATAGCATGAAGATAATTTTCTGTGTGATGACTTGTCTACAGCAACATGGGAGTGTTTATTGGAAGGAAGGGGCAAAGACAGTTCTCACAAACCTGCAGGCAAATCAGACCCTGTTTGACCAGTTAAAGGTTGGTGTGTTGTACTTGTGTGTGATTTTGGGGAGATTGCTTTCTTGGCGTGTTGTAATTGTGTTTGTGATCTTGGGAAGATGGCGTTCTTGGTGTGTTGTAATTGTGTGTGTGATTTTGGGAGATGGCTTTCTTGGTGTGTTGTAATTGTGTGTGTGATTTTGGGAGATGGCTTTCTTGGTGTGTTGTATTTGTGATCTTGAGGAGATGGCTTTCTTGGTGTGTTGTAATTGTGTGTGTGATTTTGGGGAGATGGCTTTCTTGGTGTGTAGTATTTGTGACCTTAGGGAGATGGCTTTCTTGTTGTGTTGTACTTTTGTGTGTATGATCTTAGGGAGATGGCTCTTGGTGTGTTGAATTTGTGATCTTTGGGCGATTGCTTTCTTGGTGTGTTGTATTTGTAATCTTGGGGAGATGGCTTTCTTATTCTGTTGTACTTGTATTTGTGATCTAGGGGAGATGGCTTTCTTGGTGTGTTGTATTTGTGATCTTTGGGAGTTTGCTTTCTTGGCATGTTGTATTTGTGATCTTGGAGAGATGGCTTTCTTGGTGTGCTGTATTTATGATCTTGGGGAGATGGCTCTCTTGGTGTGATGTACTTGTATTTGTGATCTAGGGGAGATGACTTTCTTGGTGTGTTGTATTTGTTAACTTTGGGAGATTGCTTTCTTAGTGTGCTTGTATTTGTGATCTTTGTGCCCTGAAAGGAATGGCAATGTGTTCTAAGTAGATATGGTTTTGCTGCTGGTTAGCGCAAATGAAGAACCATACTTTGCTTTAGCTATAACCCCCTGTGACCAGTTGTGGGTGAGAGGTCCCTAGTTTGGTGCAGTGAGAGGTATTAGGACAGAAGTGTTTGCATATTGTACAGAAGCAGAGGGAACTACGACTGGATGATCATTTGTATTCTGTCCCTTGGTGTTATGGGGTTAATCCCAGTGCTGCCACATTAATAATCTGGACTTTTTAAACCTTTAACCTTATCTTCTTCCTCTTCTTTATTTTCATAGGCTATAAACTCTGACATAAAATTCTGGTTATTCGTCCACTTGTGGACGTTATTTTTGTTGCAAAATTTGAGTTTTGCTGCATGCACTTCTCTTTTACAAATCTGGCAGATGCACTTCGACTTCTCAGGAAAAACTCCTATTGCCTTTTACGCGTGCTGGTTTGGCTTGGGGGGGGGGGGGGGGGCGCGTCTCACCCCTCCTCCCCAGATTGGGGCTAAGGAACCCTGACGGGGAAAACCTTTACCCTTATAATATATACAAGATGACCACACACCACTTGCTGCCAGCATGATTAGCCCTGCATTCAGCATCCACATATAAATGTTGCATTCTCTGTTTCTGTTGCCCAGGACTGTTTCAGTGTAGAAGACTCTCCCATCTGGATGGACTCCAGCACCACAGCACAGTGTAGACAGCTGGAAGAGAAAGTGGGTGGGGCACAGGTAAATGATTTATGCATTTTTGTAGTTACCTTCTTGGTTCCAGGGCCCTATCGTAGGCGTAAAAAAAAAAAAAAAAAAACAGACCAATTGCTTTCAACAAAATTTATAAAAACCAACTGATTATGGGTGTTTCCTGTACCACCCACTTCATCTTTTTCTTTCCTGATCACCGGCCGTAAGCTCCGGTCGACGGTCCTGATTGTTCATCCCTTTGGATTTTGGCTTTGTGCCAGGACCTGAGTTTTGCATGTACATCCCTTTTACTGGCTTATTTGTTGCAGTTGGTTGTTCCTTGCCACTCAGGCGGATGCACTCGAAGGAAGCTCTCAATTGGTTCGACTCCTGCAACATACTTGACGGGGAGGCAGTGGGTCTATTCTTGTTTTCCCCACAATGGGGCCTTGGAACCCATAGGGGAAGACCACACACAATACTGGATATAACCTGTTTGTAAAAAATGAACCTCACACTAAATGCATGCTGATTTTCAACACTGATCTTGAAATGGTGTTTTGGTTTACAGCTAGAGCGCAATATCTGTGCCTTTCAGCCCAGAACATCCTATTTCCGTGAACCCCGAATTAGTAGCCTTTTATGACATGCTTGTCAGAGGGGCAATGGGTCTGTTCCATTTGCCCAAAGTGGGGAAACCCCTGAACCCAAATGAGGAATCAGTCTTCCTTAGAGCTGACATTTGACATCAGGGATATCAAACTAAGTTTACCCAGGGACCATAAATCATCACAGGCATTCCGGAGCCCTAGCAAAGAAAAATCATATTAATACACTACAGTTAGCAATGATCCGTGGACCATTTGTTAGGCCTCTGCGGGCCACATAAATCATCCTCTGTGACACGCTGGACCTGGCAATGTTCTGCTCATGAACTCAATCTTGGTTGACTATTCCAGGCACTTGCTGACATCACAGGCTCCAGAGCTTATGAAAGGTTCACCGGCTCCCAGATTATGAAGATCTTCCAGACACAGCCCCAGGCTTATGACAAGACAGAGGTATGTTTTAAAAGTACTTGTATAAATGTGGGATCAGGCCATGTTACTTGCATTGTTGATTCATTAGTGCTTATTTCATCTGGATACAGGCCATTTTAATTCATTAAAAATTTTTTATGCTTTGTTTAAAAAAAAAAAAAAAAACTTTTCCAGAGAATTGGGAGGTGAGGTAAAAATGCCGGCTCTGGATAGGGCACACACTGTGAAAAGCCTGCTGATAATATGATAAGAAAGTCATTTCTGTGCAACCCACATGGGAGGCCAGGGGAAAGAAAGTTGCTAAAATGCTGCCACTCTTGCTTTTAATGTTTATGAAGGATTCCAGAACAGACAGGAGATGATTGTGGCAGCACATGATCTTGAGAATGCCTACAGTAGTCAGATATGAAATTTTCATGTCCGCTGTCATGGAAAAGAGGGTCTGTCCATGACAAGTGAACTGGCTAGCAGGTGTCCTGCATTCACATAGTGTAGCTTTTTTGTCTGGGTACATGGTACCTCAAATCCAAGTAATATTGCCCCGGGACTGCCACAAGGGTCTGCAGTTTCACCAGTGCTCTTCAGTGTTTATGCAAGCAGGATTGCAGAACTAAAACTCCAGGTGTTGGCAGGGTATCAACGTATGCAGATATCTTCTTGCACATAGACAGGAAAGCAATAGACAGCAGAAAGCTCAAGAGCTACCGGCAACTGTGGACAGGGTGACTGATTGGTGGTCAGAGGTGGGTGTCGTCATTAACCAGGAAAAGGTGGCTGTTTGATGGTATTCTCTAGACAATAGTTTTGATGTCCCAAGCATCAGAGTGAATAACAGAAACATCAAGAGAGACAGCACACTTTAGTACCTGGGTATCACTTTTGATGAAAGCATGTTCTTCAAAGACTTTTGAGGAAAGCATGTGCTTCAAGGACTTTTGATGAAAGCATGTGCTTCAAGGACTTTTGATAAAAGCATGTCCTTCAAGGACTTTTGAGGAAAGCATGTCCTTCAAGGACTTTTGATGAAAGCATGTGCTTCAAGTACTTTTGATAAAAGCATGTCCTTCAAGGACCTTTGATAAAAGCCTGTCTTTCAAGTACTTTTGATAAAAGCACGTCCTTCAAGGACTTTTGATGAAAGCATGTCCTTCAAGGACTTTTGATAAAAGCATGTCCTTCAATTACTTTTGATAAAAGCATGTCTTTCAAGGACTTTTGATGAAAGCATGTCCTTCAAGGACTTTTGATAAAAGCATGTCCTTCAATGACTTTTGATAAAAGCATGTCTTTCAAGGACTTTTGATAAAAGCATGTCCTTCAATGAGTTTTGATAAAAGCATGTCCTTCAAGGACTTTTGATAAAAGCATGTCCTTTAAGTACTTTTGATAAAAGCATGTCCTTCAATGACTTTTGATAAAAGCATGTCCTTCAAGGACTTTTGATAAAAGCATGTTCTTCAAGTACTTTTGATAAAAGCATGTTCTTCAAGTACTTTTGATAAAAGCATGTTCTTCAAGGACTTTTGATAAAAGCATGTTCTTCAAGTACTTTTGATAAAAGCATGTTCTTCAAGGACTTTTGATAAAAGCATGTTCTTCAAGTACTTTTGATAAAAACAAGGTCCATATGGAGGTTGTTGCAGAAGGGACTGTTGCACTCAAGATTGTGGCAGCAGTGAACATGGAACAAAGAATGTTGTTCGCAGTGTTCCGGCATTTGATTCTCCTGGTAACAGATAATGGGTTTGGAATGCTTACAATATCAAACAGTCAGCTGATAAAACTTGAACGCATTCAAAAGAATCGACTGTTGAAGATAAGTGCTGCAAGTGAGGTCCTACCTCAGAGTAGTAGCAGACAAGAAACAGCTCTTGCACGAAGCTCTAGATTTAGCTAAGCGGCACAGACTAAAATGAGGAAGGTCTTGGATGGCACAGGCAGAAGACACAATTAGACTTGTTTGCACGCTTGAAAATATTAGGCGAGGAGATGAGTGGATCAGACAGGCAGACTTTTGTAGGGTTGTAATAACATTGGGCCAGAAGTGCATGGAATGGCCAGCAGGTGTGGTGGAATCAGAAATTCAACAATTGTTTCATGACAGTTCTTGCCCAGGTGATGTGATTGTCTATACTGATGGCTCTCTATTGAGAGGCAGAAGAAGTACATCCCAGAATGATCTTCATGGCTTCATTCTGTATGCGTTCCAAGTTTCATCAGCTGCTTTTTGATGTGTTAAGCCTTCCAAGTCCATGATCTATTACTGACAAGATCACATGCTGGAATGTTGTGAACATCCTTCTTTCTTCCATGTCTCTTGCTGCCATATCTGTGTTGTTGACCAGTCCTTTTGTCCAGTGGTGACTAGATTAGGTTTTGTGTCTGCTCAGATGGCTGAAAAGGCCAATTCTAGCATTGAAAGTTCTGGAGCAATGTGGACAGGGAACCGAGGCCGCATCTCTCTGGTGATTTGCTTCAGTGTCTTTCCTGGCTTGTCTTTTCTGAATTGCTGCTGCAGTTCTAGCAGCTTCATGGGCCACAGCTCCTCGATGAAGAGAGGAGCGCCAGGAGGAACGGTCAAATGCAGCAACTTCCCAGGTTTTAGGATCAATACAGAAGTCTTTCACTGAGATCTTGAGACATTTCTTCTGCCACCCTGACACCAGAAAACTCTTTGGCAGTCGGTGGTCAGGCATGCGGGCTATTGCTGCCATATAATGTGTTTATGAAGGCTGTGTAGCCGCAGCATTCACTTAACATTTGTGTTTATGAAATGTGAAGCTGATTGGGTCTACTTTTGTATGTGTTTGGTTTGATATCCTTATAAAGGTGGTACTATGGGCAGTGGTCGGCTCTGTGGCTAAGTCGATGCAAACGCTTCGTAATGCCGGGATGCCGGATTCGATCCCAGCTGCGGGCCATGCGCCTTGCATTGGTTTCGATAGTGGTATCAAGAAAGCCGACCGCCTAGAAAGGAATGGCAAACTACTGGACATAAATTTGCCTAGAAAAACCACACAACAACCAGGGGCTGTTGGGGTTGGTTCTGCAACGTCCTGTAAAGGATACACAAATAACCCTTAACTATGGGCAGTAAAGTTGGGTTATTTTGAATTGTTTTTCCCAGAGAATTTCCTTGGTCAGCAGCTTCGCAGCAAGCCTGTTCATCGGTGACTACGCTCCGATCGACCACAGTGATGGAACAGGCATGAACTTACTGGACATCTGGACCAGACAGTGGTCACCACAATGCCTTGAGGTTGGTCACTGCATGTTGGTCTGGGAAAGTTAACTTATTGCGAATAAGTTTGTGTGTGTGTGTGTGTGTTTTTATTTTTTATTTTTTTTAGTGACGATAAAAGAGAAACAAATTAACTCCTTCTATTCCAAGAAATGTACCATGTATGCTCAGCTTTATGTCTATGTGTATCAACACAACAAACAAATGGTGAATTATTTATTTCATGTTCAATCTGGATGTGCAAAACAAATCTGGTCTAATATTTCAAATGCATCACATTAGATGAAAGTCATACACTGATGCTTCTTTTACTGTGGCTTTTGTACCAAACTGGGCTTCTTATTTAAAACCATTATAGATGGACAGGTTTAAAGCTGCGAGGATCTGCTTCAGTGTGCCCATACACTAGGCCTCTCTCTGCAGAATGATTGTCTATCCATTGAGAGTATCACAAAAGCACATATTCCATAACTCCAGTGACAATCTCTAGGGATGCCCATAAAAACTGCACTAGTGAAACAAATCCAAACCCTCAGAGTGTTAAGACAAATGGCTTGACCACCACAGCGATCCCTTTTTTTAGTTGGAGAGGTACTTATAGTTATTTTTAAAATGTCTGTTTATGCCCGTGAGTTACAGTTTGTTAATACAGTTTAAAACCCATACTGGAGGGAAAGGTTGAGGGGAAGAGAGCTAGAGGTAGACAACCTTACAAGTGGGAGGACAACATGAAGAAGTGGACAGACAGCAGTCTGAGAGAGTGTACAACCAAGACAAGAGTTAGAGTGTTGGAGATCCATTGCGATGACCTTCATTGTGAAGATGGCACCTGATTGATTTATTTAATTTGTAATAGTTTGACTTTATAGTTTTAAAGGGAGTAAAAGTTAGTTGCTTCTTATTTCTAGTATGTAAGTAATTGCTTTATTTTAGTTTCAAAATGAGTGGAAATTAATTCCTGATATTTATACTTTGTGGGAGTAGCCGTGGCGGAGGCTAGACGCTAGCCTGCGGATCAGAAGGTTGTAGATTCACTCCCTGGTAGAGCCTGACTTTTTTCAAAAATGACCTTGGCTCCCAGGTCGACCCAGCCTTGAGTGGGTATCGGGTGCAGTCCTGGAAAGTAAAGGCAGCTGGCGTGATGCAGACCATATAACCCATCTTGTGCCGTTTGTCAATAAAATATAGGTCTGGCCCTATATACCCAATAAGCCTGAAAGGCGGGAAAAAAGGTCCTTTACTTTACTATTTATACTTTGTGAGTAAAAATAAATTGCCTCCATTTTAATTTTAAAATTACTAGAAATGAATTGCATGCTTCTTACCGTAAGTAAAATATCTTTATAGGCATGCGGAACTGATCTCCACTCAAAACTTGGACCAGTAGTTCATTCCACAGAAAAAGTTGTGAGTATTCATTGTATTTGGAGCATTCATTTGAAACCCATTCGTGCAGCACTGTGCCTAGTTGCATGCGTTCAACATGAATGATCATGTCATAGTCATGTGAAAAGTACTCACTAGTGAATAAAAGAGCATATGCTTATCGTCCCATGATGCGTATGTTCTGTTTCCGAACGGTCAGATAATGGCGGAATTAATTTAAAATCTGCCCAAAGAAGCTCAAGAAGCAATGATTCAGTTTTTTAAATTTTAATGATGTTGATTAGTGAACATTTCTAAATAAAAAGAATGCTGGCAGTGTACAGTAACAAATGTATGGTGAAGATAGCTTTGACAGACTGGGCGTGAGTGTGACAGACTGGGCGTGAGTGTGACAGACTGGGCGTGAGTGTGACAGACTGGGCGTGAGTGTGACAGACTGAGCATGAGTGTGACAGACTGGGCGTGAGTGTGACAGACTGGGCATGAGTGTGACAGACTGGGCGTGAGTGTGACAGACTGGGCGTGAGTGTGACAGACTGAGCGTGAGTGTGACAGACTGGACGTGAGTGTGACAGACTGGGCGTGAGTGTGACAGACTGCGCATGAGTGTGACAGACTGGGCGTGAGTGTGACAGACTGGGTGTGAGTGTGACAGACTGAGCGTGAGTGTGACAGACTGGGCGTGAGTGTGACAGACTGGGCGTGAGTGTGACAGACTGGGTGTGAGTGTGACAGACTGAGCGTGAGTGTGACAGACTAGGCATGAATGTGACAGACTGGGCGTGAGTGTGACAGACTGAGCGTGAGTGTGACAGGCTGGGTGTGAGTGTGACAGGCTGGGTGTGAGTGTGACAGACTGAGCATGAGTGTGACTGACTGGGCGTGAGTGTGACAGACTGGGCGTGAGTGTGACAGACTGGACGTGAGTGTGACAGACTGGGCGTGAGTGTGACACACTGGACATGAGTGTGACAGACTGGACGTGAGTGTGACAGACTGGGGGTGAGTGTGACAGACTGAGCGTGAGTGTGACAGACTGGGCGTGAGTGTGACAGACTGGGCGTGAGTGTGACAGACTGGGCGTGAGTGTGACAGACTGCGCATGAGTGTGACAGACTGGGCGTGAGTGTGACAGACTGGGCCTGAGTGTGACAGACTTGGCGTGAGTGTGACAGACTGATCGTGAGTGTGACAGACTGATTGTGACAGAATGGGCGTGAGTTCATGACAGATCTTCCACTGCCATGTCAAGCCCATATTGTAGCAACAGGAAAAAAAATTCTCCAAAATTGATGCAGCAGTACAGAATAGAGGGAATTATTTAACAAGAAATAAAATAGGAAAAGTGGTGGGGGAGAGAAGGAAACGAGACAGACAAAATCTGGATGTAAAATAGGCCAAATCTGGATTTTAAGAAAACGAGCCAGATCTGGACAAAAAATTAGCCAAATCTGGATACAAATAGGCCAAATCTGGATTTAAAATAGGCCAAATCTGATATAAATAAGCCAAATCTAGATTTGAAATATGCCAAATCTGGATTTAAAATATGCCAAATCTGGTTTTAATATAGGCTAAATCTGGATTTAAAATAGGCAAAATCTGGATTTAATATAGGCTAAATCTAGATTTAAAATAGGCCAAATCTGGATTTAAAATAGGCCAAATCTGGATTTAAAATAGGCCAAATCTGGATTTAAAATATGCCAAATCTGGATTTAAAATAAGCCAAAT